TATGAGACAAACATTCGAAATACCTATGTCATTAGATCCACCATCTAATAAATCTGTAAGTGAAACAGATGTGTACTCAGACTCTGCATTTCCAAATGAATTGACAATATCTCAAGATGATAAAACATCTCCGAATCTAAGAAGGAGTGAAAGGATTAAAAACATACCTAAAGTGTGTTATGATGACAGTAAAGATGATCTTTCAAATAATTATTTGCTGCATGCACAATCATTAGTATGTTCTATACCTAGATCTTTTGATGAAATCCAATCCAGGGATGATAGACATTTATGGGAAAGTGCTATAAAAGAGGAAATTAATTCACTCCTCAAAAATGAAACCTGGACCCTGGTACAAAAACCTATTGACAGAAATATCATTGATTGTAAATGGGTATTTTCTATTAAAAACGATGAATCTGGAAAACCATTAAAATATAAAGCGCGTTTAGTAGCTCGTGGTTTCAATCAAGAATATCTTATTGATTATAATGAGACGTTTGCACCTGTTGCAAGAATAGCAAGTTTCAGATTTATTTTAGCATTCGCGAATCAGTATAGATTGCTAGTGCATCATATGGATGTAAAAACGGCATTTTTAAATGGGAAACTTGAGGAAGAGATTTTTATGAAAGTACCACAAGGAATCCCATGTACAGATAACAACTTGGTCTGTAAATTAAATAAGTCGTTATATGGATTAAAGCAATCAGCACGTTGTTGGTTCGCAACGTTCGAACAAGTCTTGATTGAAAAAGGTTTTCGATATTCATCAGCTGACCGATGTCTATATATATTAGATGCAGGTGATATTTCTAAAAACATTTATGTGATTTTATATGTTGACGATCTTGTTATCGCAACGGCAGATATCAAAACCATGAACACCTTTAAACAATACTTAATGAAAAGGTTCAGAATGGTAGATTTGAAAGAAATAAAGTGTTTCTTGGGGATTAAAATTGAAAGAAGCAATAACAAAATAACTTTAGACCAAAAATTGTATATAGAAACAGTCCTTAATAAATTCAACATGAGTGACTGTAAACATGTCAGTACTCCACTTGAAACTAAAGTTGATTTCGAAGCTTTAAATTCGTGTGAAACAATGAATGCCCCTTGTAAAAACCTTATCGGATGTTTAATTTACATTATGGTTTGCACTCGACCCGATTTGAGTTATAGTCTAAACGTCTTGAGTAGATTTGCTAACAAAAACAACCATGCACTTTGGTCACACTTAAAAAGAGTGCTTCGTTATTTAAAAGGGACGCTTGATTTAAAATTGACTTATCGTCGGAGCAATTCAGATAAAATACCGTTAAGTGGTTATGTTGATTCTGATTGGGGTTCTGATGAAGTGGATAGAAAAAGTACTACGGGTTATTTGTTTAACTTATTTGAGCAATGCACTATAAGTTGGAAAACAAAAAGGCAAACAACAGTAGCAGTTTCTAGTACTGAAGCAGAGTACATGGCACTATTTGAGGCCGTAAAGGAAGCTCTATGGTTAAAGTCTTTAGTAACCAGTATAGACATTAAAATACTGGATCCGATTCCTATTTATGAGGACAATAGTGGTTGCATAAGCATTGCAAATAATCCGACATGTCATAAAAGGTCAAAACATATTGACATCAAATATCATTTCTCTAGAGAACAAGTTGAGAAAAATGTTATTAAAATAATTTATGTGTCCACAGGTAACCAGTTGGCTGATGTGTTAACGAAACAGTTACCCACTGTTCGTTTCTCCCAGTTGAGAGATAAATTGGGACTAGAATAGATTACAATATATTTCATATATGAATAAAATCTATAGTAATAAATACTTAACTAGGTTAAGACTTTGAATAAGTATAACATGGTCTGATTAGGTTTTTCTGGGTTTCCCTAATCCTATGCAACGAATGTTGGACCATTGAATGATTGTACCCCAGATAAAGGATGGTGTGTGATACTATGTTTGTAATTAATTTTATTTTAGATTAATTTTTGAGGGGGCGTGTTGGAATAACAAAAATCAATCTACTCATTATTCTCACGCCACTATTATAAGTGCCTTAAGTGGCCAGCTAACCCTCACTGAGATGTTTGCATCTCGCCCTCATTCTGTTCTGCTAACGCCTTCAGGCAACACACACCTCCTAAAGTATAATAATAAATTCCACCTCTGCTATTTGATAAATAAACTTAGTTTTATTTCATCAACCCAAACCTAACATTCTTTCCCCTCCTCCTATCATCCATCCTCAAATCCCGAATAAATAGGCAAAGAACTTGTAGTAACTCCTTTGGTACTTCGAGTTTCCATGGGCGTCGCTGATTGCTTACCATGACCGTGTCTACCAGTTTCGACGGTAGGCGTCTAGATCGTCACGCCATCTTTTCCGGGGCCTACCCCGCCTGCGGCCTCCATCCTGAGTGTCCTCTGGGTGACAATATTGGCCCATCTCTCCGGATGCATTCGGCTGATGTGTCCGGCCCAGTCCCATTTTAATTTTGCTGTCTTTTGGCCCGCAACAGCGACTCCTGTTCTTGAACGTATCCCGGTATTCCGTATGCGATCGGTCCGTTTTATGCCTAACAGGCTAAGTGTCGCGTGTACGCGTCCAACATCAATCTTTCTTGTGTATAATGTTAGTCTATAACCAGCGATTCTAATACGCATAACCAATGCGTTTTACTATAAAAACCCGGGTTTTTTGCCTCATGGTTTTACTTCTTAAGGTTAAGGTTTCGCTTCAAGTTATTTAGGTACTCAAATTGAAATGAGCTGAGAGCTTTTATTGCATAATTTCTTGAGGCACTTTGACCATTGTAGTTCGAAGCGATCCTAATACAAACTCTTTGGAATTCGCATCGTTTTGTTGATATTTCTTTAACAGAGTTACTGTAACACACAGATTGATCCAAATGTATTAATGCATAAATGTGTAAATGTATTGCCTTTGATTAATTAATTCCGTAAATATAAGCGAAGAAGAAGCTTATTATTCATTTATTACTGAGAACGAACTTCAAATAAAGATAAAATAGAATCATCTATTCACCAACTGAGAAGACATTTTATAGTCTGTGACAAGACAATGTAATGTAATAAGATCGGCCGAGTTTGACCTCATTTGGTCTCCGCTCTAAAAGTCCTAAATGGCATCCGTTTAGATAATCTAAATGACCCCACAATTATTTGTGGCGATGTTTGGACAGTCCACGGATTTGTGAAAGGATTCTATGTTTATTGTTGTTTAGATTTGCAATTATTGCCTTAAAGGAGATTTCCTTAAGTGATCAAGTTTCTATATTTTTTTTAAGTCAAAAGTCAAATTATTTATTTCCACAATTAGACTACTGTAGCGACATCTATAGCACAACATTAACAACAGCTCCAATTACGTGCAAGATTCTACATCGCGGTATAAGAGTTCTCGACGCAATTAGAACTGATACAAAATCCCGACAGCAATCGTGCGTCGGGCAGTAGCCCACCAGATATAACACCCGTCTGCTTGGAGTATCCTCCCTTTTCAATGGAGGATGAGGAACTATTCACCTCTTTGTTCTCTCTCATACCTCTACTACAATAGGCACTTTTGAACATGAAAACAAATATTTTAATATTGAAAATGTCAATCTGGCTAACCGTCCTCTTAGTGAAGCGCTTGTTCCAAAGTGTAGATTGCTATGGAGGAGAACGGACAAGAAACTTCGTGGTTACTACATACACATGTATTGAAAATAACGACTTACTCTCGTGAATTTAGTACTCGGGTTAGTTATTGAGCTTGTCCGTTTACGGGAATGCACTCAACATGGCTGATCACTAACTTAAATGGCTAATTTCTTGAATACAAAGTCGTCATTCAACAAAATACAGCTGTGAACACATACCTCTTTTGTTTGTAAGTCGGGTAAAACAGCTGGTCGCGCCGGATGTGACCATAGAGACCGGATGTAGATGGATTAACAGTTGTTTTGCTGCCATAGCGCGCGTTTTTGTTTTTTGCGCGCTATTGAATGGCAAAGGTATTTCGTTATTAGGCAGAATGATGTATTTGTGTGAGGCATTGGATTGGTTTATAAAACTTATGCAGATGTAATTTGTAAATAGATTTTTGAAAAAAAAAAAAATCTTTTTATCTATGCAAGCTGAAGCTGATTATCTTTACAACGTTGTTTTGTTTTAATTATTTCGAAACAAAATTGTAAAGGCTGGACAACAACCCTTATCACTTGGGGGTATGAAAAATAGCCAGTAGTTGATTCTCTGACAATTGAGAGAAAATTTGGTAAAACACAGTAAAGCCGTTTCGTAGGAGTTAGGTAGGTTACTTCATTGTGATTTGTGAGACGAGCATTTTATATGGTATCAGATTAAGTTTTGTTTTATCTGTGGTGGTAGTATTGGGTCTTTCGATTTAGCAAACTTCTTTTTTTATGTGATAGGTCGGCAAACGAGCAAACGGATTACCTGATAAGCAATCAGCGTCATGGACATCCGCAACGACGGAGGAGTTACGAGTGCATTGTCGAACTTTTGGGGATTAGGGATTTGGAGATTTTGGGAAAGGGAATGGATTGGAGTAGGGGAAAGATTGGGCCTCCAGTAACCTCACTCACACGGAATCACACTCACACAAACACAACTCTGGTTATTTTACGCCGGTTTTCTGTGAGGCCGTGTTATCACTCCGGTCGAGCCGTCCCATTCGTGCCGAAGTATGGCTCTCCCACACACTCTCTTTTCACTAATTTTAAGATTACGTGCAAGTTTACGGACGGATGTAAAATAGCTTAGTTTTGGAAATAAGTGGCTGCTGCTTCAATAGCACGCCGCTGAGCTAGATCTTCAATCCTTAATACACAACCAATAGTGTATTAAGGATTGAAAATCGAGCTTATCGGCGTGCTATTGAAGAGGAATTATGTCCAGCATTGGACGAAAACGGACTGTTGCTGTTTCTCCATATCTCTCTAACAATATCCTTATCTCTTTCCAGCATCACCAAGTTGGGAAAGATGTCGCTAGGTGACGTGACGTCAGCTCGCAGCTCGCCTGCGCCAGAAGCCTGTCCGGAATGCGATACCAGCGCCTCAGTTACTTCGGATTTGCATAAGGTAAACTTCTTTTGTTTGGTGACGGCAAATTTTTGGTCCTATTCATTTGTTTATAATTGGACACGTCGAAAAGGAAACTTCAGCTTACAATTAGTTTTGAACGAAAGAAAGACTAAACATTTATTTGGCACTGGACATGGCACCAAAGACATGTATAATAATAATAGGTGAGAATATACAAAAAAGAAAAAATAAGAATAAAAGGATAAATTAAAAACGTTAGTACCTACCAGTAACAAAACATAACATCCAAATTAATAAAAAGGTACTTAAACAACAAAAAAAGAATAATTTATAAATTAATCTTGCCCAAAAATTTTGCCCAAAAGCGATAGCAGCGCCACTGGTTCTTCCGAATTACCTACTTTCATATAGTATGCTAACTTCTCTCTATCCTATTATACTTTTATTTAATTAAGCTTTTTCGTCCAGCTGGATACAAATGTCCGCGACTCCAGCTTGTAGCAGGAGAAGGAACCTGATGGTTTTTAGTCAGTAAGATTCTGAGACTTCCTCTCACTCCATACCAGCAAAAAAATCTGAATAAATAATATAAACAACTTTATTAAGAACTAGCGGCCCGCCCCCGCTTCGCTCGGGTCCAACTATCTCGCTATCAAAGGGTTACATTTTCCTAATCTTCCCCTCTACTTTTCTAATATTTGCTTTGGTAAGAACCTTATCCTGACAATAACAAAGACAAAAAAAAAATTTGCAAAATTGGTCTAGGCGTTGTTGAGTTATGCGCTTACGAACACATTTTGCCATTCATTTTTATATTATAGATGACTTTGACCAAAAACAACAACCATAGTTATATCTAAAACTAAAACTAGCTTCCGTCGTGCGGTTTTACTCGCTGCTCGGCTCCTACATATCGTAGCGTGATTTGTTATAGCCCTAGCCTTAAGTCTTCCTCGATAAATGTACTAACAAACACAAAAACAACTATTCAATTCAAACCAGTAGTTCTGGAGATAAGGGCGTTCAAACAAACAAACTCTCCAGCTTTATAATATTAAGTACCTAAGTATATATTTGTTAAAAACTAAACACTTTTTTCTCGATTTCAGTATCAAGTAGCATGTACGTGCAAGCCGTCGTCAGCGCAGTACGCCTGCGCGGATGACCCTGGCCCTCCCGCCCCTGCAAAGACTGACACTCCTCCCGCGCTCCCACCTCGACCACCCACCAGCGTACTGGCAGCTACTAATCGGAGGAACAATAGTAAGTTACCTTTTTCAAAGATTTTGTTTCCAATTCACCAGGTTCTCTTGCATGAGGGTGCGCGTCCGAAACCTGGCAAGTACCAATGTGACTTTTTTCGAGTTATATGTACCTACTTTCTATGATTATTTAGACACCACTGCCATACGGTGAAGGAAAACATCGTTAGGAAACCTGGACTTAAAATTTATAATTATAAGTTTGAAATAGCCAATCCGGCTTGAGCAACCATGGTGAATAATGCTCTTTAATGGTATGGAAAGCTTCTCTGATAACGACAAACTTAAAAAAAGCGATTTCAAACGTGAAGATTATCAGCCGGGATTGCGGGTCAAGCACAATAAGGGGGCTCGGCCTGGAGAAGGAGAAGGAACAGTCTGACACTCCCTCTCACCTCACCCTGGGCGAGAGAAGTCATTTGATGATTTTCCTCTCACAAAAAAGCGTGAAGATCATGATTGTGTGGGGAGGATGTCCAACGTCAATAGTTTAGCATTGGACAATATCGGCAGTTGATCCATGCATTCCCTTTATCAACCTTAATGTTGTAAAAACTAAGCCGGCACCTGTGGTAGATTTCTATTGAAAGTCTATGGTTAGCGTTTCAAATAGAAAACCATTGATATGAATTTGAATTTAGAAAACGGATGATTATTTTTATCGGTTACCTGTAGTCAAATAATTTCAAAGACACTTGTATAACCTATGGACGGACAGCGTTATAAATCAAGCGCAACTAGATGGTGCAAAAAGTTATCCTTTCTCACATTATTTGAAAGCCGTTACGAAATTCATAGCACCTTATATGTACTAAGATTTTATTGTAATATCGACAGGTTAATGTTTTCCGGCCATCAATTTAAAGTTTTTGCTATCGATTTCTAAAATATAACATGAATGTGAAACCAATTGTTGTAAGTTACAAAATTCGTACAATACAAATGGATTTTTTGTGTTTACGAAACTTTCCCACCAAAACCGAAATGTCATTCATTCAATTCAATAGATTAAAAAAAATGTAAAGCTCACCTACACATGAAACCTTTTTGCACAAAACTACCTGTTCTACATTGAAAAAATATATCTTTATCTACAGTAATACAGTTTATGTATGTATGTGCACAACAAAATCCATAAGTCACATTCCCATACATTTAATTTAAGACCTTTCTACCTGAGCTACATAAAGCTCCCATTGCTTCTGCGCGAAACGGCCATTGTCAATCCACATAACCTTACAACGTAAACTCAATAATGCAACGAGAATTTGTTTATCGTGAAAATAAACTCGAATAAAACGTTAAATATTATAAACTTCAATGTAAGCTGTCGTGTCGTCGAAAAATTGTGCCAAGTTTGTGTTATAATGTGTTAAAAAAACAAAGAAACGGAGGGAAAAAATAAAAGACGAGAATTTACGGAATTTAATTAAAAGGAATTGATAAATTAATAATTATTTAGTGCAATTGGTTAAAAGTTTAAATAACTGATGAATGATCATAACATTGTTGTTATAATGTAAAAGGGGTCATTGTTCTTTACGCACGGTTAGCTTGGGGTGTAAATATCGATTTTATAGAAAAGGCGCGCGATTTGAAAGTTCACGGTGGAATTCGAACGTGGTTGCTTGTGTATTGTGGTAACAGATAAAAAAAGTAAAAACTGACATGGCGGGAAATCGGACATCATGATTTTGTGAATTATTTTTAGTGTAATTTCGTTATTGTTGTGATAAAATTTTTTGTTTGTTTATTTGTGATGCAAGCGTGCGGTGTTATGCAAGTGGTACAATACCAGGTTTCTACGCCACGTACGACTGTAGCCGCTGATGTGCCTCAGCACTATGTGCCGCCACCACCGTATTTTGGTAATTGTTTTTTATAAGTACTAATTAATAAAATTGAACTTTATTATCAGAAAAGGAAACACTGCATATTTATTAAATATAAACAAAATTATGAATGAAAATAATAGAAGTTGCTACAAAAAAATTAAACGAATAACAAATAAACAATGTAGTTTTCAGTTTGTTTGTTATGTACGTTAGTGTTAGTGTGGATACTAAATGCAGCTTAGTAACAAAATATAATATAATTGTTATTTTTTTATTACTATGTATGTTGATGAAAATGACCAACTCTATAAAAGACTTAAAAAAATAACACTTGAACAATATTATAAATATTATAATATATATTATATCTACTATATGAACAGTCGAATGTTGTTTTAGGGCTGATTTTTCAATAGTCATAAATGTTATCTGAGGAAAAAATAAAATTGTTGTTGTCACTGTCTTATACAAACATTCCGACGCGACAGCATAACAATTATTCCCCAGGTAACTTTTATGTAACCATTGAAAAATCAGCCTTAGTCGTCATAATAATATTTAAAAAAAATACACTGATAAGCTTATGTATTTTATTATCTACGCATCACGTTAAGTCTTTTGAATGATAAAAATAACAAAAATATATACTACTTATAACAACAAAAATATATTTATATTATAAGAATCGTGATCAAAGATTTAGCACGGTTTTTATTTCACGTTATTCACGTTTCTTATTTTTCTTAAGTTTCGTAATAAATCCACTTAAGAGTTTTGGAGTCTATCTACACTAACATTATAAAGAGGTAACATTAATTGTCAGTTTGTATGTAGGTATGTAGGGGGTAATCTGTGAAACAGCTGGTCGGATTTCCAACAATGTTCCTTGCTATAGGTATAGTGTAAGGCTAATAGTATTACCTATTGTAAACTCATTGTCCAATTGTTGATATTTGTAAAGAGACAGGTATATGTAGTGACAGATACCTGTTTACTTGTCTATGACAGTGGGACTATGGCGGTGGTGGGTGTGGTAGACAAGTAAACAGTCTTGTATTTTATTATATAAAAGTGATACCCGACACTAAAGTAATAGTCGACTAATTTAATAGTTATGGTCAGATATCGACCTTAACCGTGATCACTCTGATTTTTGGCGGGATTTTGAACGGTGTTGAACTCAACATTAAGGATATATATTTTGAATAATTATAATTATAACGTAGAATATTCAAGTATTCATTGTTTTATTTCTGAGTTAAGATCTAGTTTCTACAATAGGCTATAAACTATGTATACTTGATGCGGATTTTAGTCGAGGTATCGCTTTAAACGCTGTTGTTTTTAAAATCTTGCTTACTTAGTAGTACTTACGCGATGCCGCGGGCGAAAGCTAGTTTAATAATACCTATACTACACTCGCGAGCAAAAGTATGGAATCACTTACTTGGAATTGAATCCTCGCGATCTTAAGTTCTTAATAACTAGTTAAGAATAATAAAAATGGTACCATTTAAAAGGTTTAACTGTTAACTTTAAATTGATACCAAATTCATTTAAATCACACCAGTATTTAGGAGCTATCCCGGATTGAGTGAAGGAGTTAGGAAAACATAAGGATAATGGAAAAAATAATGAATGAAGAAAACAACAAAAATTAATTAATAAAAATTTTATTTGGCCTTAAAATTAAGATATAATATTTTGTGTTCCCTCCCCTCGCCCTAATAACTGCTTGAAGGCGGTTCTTCATTGACCTAATCAGCTTCTGTATCGATTCTTGCGGGATACCTTCCCACTCCTCTATCAAAGCCGATTTCAGCTCATTCACACTTGAAGGAGCAGGATTTCTGGAACGAACCCTCCTCTTCAGTTCATCCCATACGTGCTCAATGGGATTTAAGTCCGGGCTGAGTGCTGGCCAGTTCATTGTGGCGATACCGACTTCTTCGGGATATTCAGTTGTGACACAGGAAGTGTGACAACGAGCGTTATCGTGCATAAGGATGAAGTCATCGCCGATATATTGCGCATAAGGAACGACATGTTCCAGCAGAATATCGGAAATATAGCGGTCTGAAGTTAGACCGCCTCCTCGTCCCCCGCCAGGCACGAAAACAAGCTCAGTTTTACCGTCGAAGAAAATGCCGGCCCACATCATACAAGAACCACCCCCATAAGCCACTGTCTCAGCGAAACAGCACTGCGCAAATCGCTCCCCAGGCCGCCTGTAGACCCGGCCCCTTCGGTCGCTGCCGTGCAAACACATTCTGCACTCGTCGGAGAACAGAACTCGCCTCCATTGCTCAACCTCCCAATCAAGATGGGAGCGAGCAAATTGAAGGCGTGCTTGTCGGTGACCTGCCGTCAGTTTCAAGCCTGTGGCAGGCCTTTTGGGAGTCAAATTAGCTTGCTTAAGTCTTCGACGAACTGTCCACTCACTGGCAGTTACCCCACGAACATTTCGGAGCTCCTGTTGGACGTCGACACCAGTCAAATGTCGATTTCTGAGAGAGGTTAACACGATGAAACGGTCATCTCTCTCCGATGTGCACCGGCGCCGTCCAGATCTTGGTCTCGGGATAAAGCCACCAGTCTCCCGAAACCGTTTATAAACTTTCGAAACACAGGACTGGCTTATGTGGAGCTGACGTGCGACAGCCCGCTGGCTGAGCCCTTCTTGCAATAGGGCGACGATTTGTGCTGCTTCTGTAGGTGTAGTATCCATTGTCGTCCAAGTTCAAGGGTCTAAAGTAGCGGAGATGTGTACTGGTCAACGTGTGAAAGCCGACTGATAAAGAAAATCCGATAACACGTGCTTTTATAGGGGGTCAATAGGGCGCAACTCGTGACGTATCAAACAATTGAAACATATCTTTTTCCTTACGTCTTCACGTAATCCCGTATAACTTCTGAAATTATGGCGTGATTTAAATGAATTTGGTATCAATTTAAAGTTAACAGTTTAACCTTTTAAATGGTACCATTTTTATTATTCTTAACTAGTTATTAAGTACTTAAGATCGCGAGGATTCAATTCCAAGTAAGTGATTCCATACTTTTGCTCGCGAGTGTAGTAAACATTACGCGTTTTGTCTACAAAGATAAAAAATATTAATTAATAAACTACTTATACGCTCCATAAAGGGCAGAGAGATATTGGATGTTCCCTCCCCCCTTTTTTGTAAAGGAAAATCATCAGATCTCTCCTCCCGCCCAGGGTAAGGCGAGCGAGATACAGTGTCAGACTCTTACTGACTTAAAACACCCGCGTTCCTTCTCCTGGTTTAGGCCGAGGAGCTTACCCCGCGACTCTGCCTCTCCTAAAAACAATGATATTATAATTAAAAAGGTATAGATAGGTCATAAGCGCTCAGCAAGTAAAACATTAAAATGTGGCTAACTAGCCACACTTTTTCATATTTGTCTCTTTTACACTCGCGATTATTGAATCATGCCATCCCACTTTAACGTGTATCATACGATTTACTCATGTGTGCATCAGTGTGCCGTTTTTGAAAATCGAATGTTGTTTAATATGTAACCTATCTATACCATTTTACTTATAAATATAATATCACTGCCTAAAAACTGTGTATTTACCCAAATCTCTCTTTATTTCCAGCATCAGTCGGCTGCAACGGTAATGATGGGACCTGCCGGCGTCGGAAGTATGCGTGGTGGTGCGTCGGCTGCGGGGCGCTGGCGGCGGCGCTGGGCGGCCTGCTCGCTGCCCAGCATATACTGCTGCGAGCTTACACGGCGTCCCCTCAGCACCTGGAGACGGTGCCTGCTGCTGTACCGGCCGCTATGGTAAGGATATTCAGGCCGACAACCTGGCTGCAGAACAATTCTGTGTGATCCACAAATCATTGTTCCGAGTCTGGGTGTGATGTGTATGTGCAGTTGTATGTTTGTAAACGCACCCACGACACAAGAGAACCATAGTGTGGGGAAATGTTATTAAAAAAAAAAACAAAACGAGAGTTGTAATATTATAAGTACTATACTAGTCGGATAGTTCGATTCTTTTATGTACCAAACAATATAAACATATTCAATAAAACCAAACTAATATTATAAATGCGAAAGTAACTCTGTCTGTCTGTCTGTCTTTTCTTCACGTCTAAACTACTGAACCTATTTGTGTGAAATCTGATACAGACATAGTTAGGAACTCGAGAAAGGACATAGGATAGTTTTTAAACCAAAAATCTCCAGGAAGTTCCACGAGAACGGAGTCGCGGGTGAAAGCTTGATCTATATTAATATTATAAAGAGGTAAAATTTGTAAGTTTGTATGTATAGGGTAATCTTTGAAACCGCTGGTCGGATTTCCAAAATTCTTTCACTGATAGATAGCTACAATGTTCCTGAGTGCTATAGGCTATAAAACATCACGCTACAATCAAATGGAGTTGAGCAGCGGGTGAAACCGCGCGAGAATAGCTAGTCTTCTTCTTATATATAAAAATGGATCGCAAAATGTGTTGGTAAGCGTATAACTCAACAACGCCTGGACCAATTTTGCTAATTCTTTTTTTGTTGTGTTTGTTATTGTCAGGAGAAGGTTCTTATCAAAGAAAATATTAGAAAAGTAGAGGGGAAGTTTAGGAAAAAGTGACCCTTTGATATCGAGATAGCTGGACCCGCGCGAAGCGGGGGCGGACGGCTAGTATACAACAAATATCTTTTAATACAACATATTTCTTTCGATGTTAATTGTTTTTTTTTTATTTCTAGTTGGTGTTAACCGGAGTCTGTATCATGAGCCTGGCGCGCCGCCGAAACAGATACAGCTATATGGTAAGAAAAGTATGTTCGTTTCATTTTCATTCATTTTATCACCGCTTCTTGTATGCATGAATGCACTTTATTAGCTTTAGAATAAAGATATTTATCGCTTAGTCTACAAATGACCATTTTCATCCTTATGAGTAACTGGCTACAAAACTTTTAACTGATGGTAAGCAATGCATGGAAACCCGTAACAATGGAAAAGATACTATTACGTTGCCGGCGTTGTTTGATTTTGGAGATTTTGGGGTTGAAGAGGGATGGGGCAGGGCATGTTTTTGGCCTCCGGTAACTGGTATTTTAAAAGCTTTAACCACATCCTCTGATCTCTCCACTTATAACTAATTGTTTGGTCTTGATTTATTTATTTATTACATTTTTATGCAACAAAGAATTACATAAGAACCTAATGCCATAGGTCTTGTGAGTGTCCAAAAACCATCGGTCTGTCTGTCTGTCTGTCTCTCTCTCTTTCTCTCTTTCTCTCTCTCTCTCTCTCTCTCTCTCTCTATCTCTCGTATGCAATAAAAAAGTTTATGTCAAGTCCTGCACATTTGTACCTATGATAAAGTCAGTTATGCGTGTCAGTCTGTCCGTCGGTCCTCTAATGAAGCTATTTGCTCGTTCCAAAGTGTAGATTCGAATGTAGAAGAACGAGCAAGAAATTTTCAATCAGTTTTTTATTCAGTTTTATAGTTGTATCTACTGTAGGTACAGGCTTTCAGAAGCGGACGAAGGAGGTTGATGCGTGCTTATGGTAAGCAATCAGCGCCGCCCATTGACATCAGCAACAACGGAAGAGTTATGAGTGCGTTGCCGACCTTTTGAGGACTTAGAGATAAAGGAAATCCTCCCCGGATTAGGCCTCCGGTAACCTCACTCACACGGCGAAACACAACGCTGTGGTTAACCGACCCACACACTTGATGATTTTGCCTTCCACAATGAAATACTTGTAAATTATGTTTGGTTACAGATCAAAGTGGTAGGAGCTTGCTGCCTGGTCTGCGCGTTGACTTGTGTTCTAGTGACAATTACAACCACCGTCATACATATGAACAAGTAAGTATTAAAATTTAGTTAAATATGTTTTTTTTGACGTCATTTATTTTGTTTTTTATTTGTGTGTGTGCGCGGAGATGTGTTTGTTATCCCAACAGTCCGAGGCCATCTGAAAACCAGTGCTGTGCATTAGCACAGCATATACTGAGATGGACCCCTTGCTACACTATATATATTTATTTTTTGTGTAATGTTTATTTTTGTAGGTTTTCAACTTATGCAGGTGTGTGCTAAATAAATGGTTTAAAATAATTGACGCGTGGTGGCTGGGCAACTAACGGAACGACTGTGTGATCCACAAATTGTTGTTCCGAGTTGTGTATGTGAAATCATGTAAACGCACCCAAAACACAGGAGGAAGTCCTAGTGTGGGGCGAAGTTTTAAAAAATTGGGTGTTTTCCTACTGATAAAATAATTTAAATGTCGAAAACGATACATTTTTTCTTACATTCTTTTTATGAGATCGTAATAAATGACTTAATTATTACTTTACGTCAATTAATATAATATTGAATATCAACTAGCGTGCTTGAGATATACTTAATATATTTAAAACTAGTCGTCCGCCCCCGCTTCGCGCGGGTCCAATGTTCTCGCTAACAATGAAAGGGTCACTTTTCCCAATTTTCCTCTCTAATTTTTTAATATTTTTTTTATAAAAACTTTTCCTCACTATAATAAGACCGTGGTGGCCCGGAGGTTAAGGAGCCGGCATGCATTAGGGCGTGGGTTCAAGTACCAATGTGACTTTTCCGAGTTATATGTACTTTCTATGATTATTTAGACACCACTGAGAAACGTGAACTTATAGTTTCTCTTTTCTTAGATTAATGCTCAATCCTTCTCCATATGAGAAGAGGCCTTTGCTCAGCAGTGGGCACTTATAGGCTGATGATGATGACTATATAATAAATACAACAAACAAGAAATGGCAAAATTGATCCAGGCGTTGCTGAGTTATATGCTTACCCAATACATTATTGTTTCAGACTACAAACGCTGAAGTTTTGTGAATACACGAAGCTGACTCGAACCTGTACTTGCTTCTCAATGCCGCCTGACACTCAACACAGTTCAGCTGACGACGAAGGTATGAATTGCATACAATAACTAATTTACGATACTGAGACTATTAAAGCGACGGATGACTTAAAAAGGTCACCGGGGCCTAAAAGGGCCGATGTTCAGCCGGGTTTGCCTGGAGCCGAGAAGGAACGGGGGTATTTTGGTCAGCAAGAATATGCGATGATAATTGAATGACCTTGCCTATGGGCACACGCTAAACTTTGGTTATGAGCTCCAGTTTAGTTCGAAGCTAGTCAAGGATGCTCGAAATTATTTTTGAGTAAGTTTTTAGCAAAAGATATGACGATTATAATTATTCTTATTTTGCCTAATGGGCTCGCTTCCCATCGCCCACGCGCACCCGCCTTACTTTGCTTATGAGCTCCAGTTTAATTCGAAAATAGTCGAGTATACTCGAAAAAATTTCTAATGTAAGTTTGAACTCATAAATATGACGATGATTATTATTTTTGTTTCGTATTAACAGGAGTACGCTGCGTATTCGAAGGCGTATCGGAGTGTGGCGTAGTGCACGGCGCGTTGTACTGGTGTCTACGCGGCGTATTCGCGTTGTCTGTCAGCGCCGTACTCGTCTGCATTTTTAGCTGTATGCTCGCCTACCAGTTGCTCAGGTGAGAGAACTCTTCAAACATCAAAGAAAGATTTGATTGTTTTTTTGAACGCGCTAATCAGAATGTGATGTGATCTCGAGCGAATGAAGACTATTTTATGGAATTTGTTATTTTTTTTTCTTCTTTTCGTGCCTATATTTATTATGTATATAGTTCGGTATACCTAAGAATTCAGTAGGGTTTTCTGCCGTACTATCCAAAATAAATAAACAATTCTTTTGTTAGTCTATTTAGGAACCACCGTCTGCTTTACCACCTTCATAATTATAAGTACTTGATAAACTTATGTAGCACATAGTTCATGCAAATACTTTATAGCGACTATTCAGACATTTTAAGACAGGCCTTTATCTAGCTTTGACCCGCGATTTTGGTCGTGTGAAATTATTTAAAAGCAAAATTATAGCTAAGAGGTGACAGAAACTCCTTGAACGGCCCCAGCCTAGAACAGCAGAAAGAACGGAATGGTTTTTAGTTAGTACTAGCGAACCGCCCTAACTACGCGCGGCTGCAATGCTGATACTAAATTTCTATACTATTAATGAACGTGTAAAATACATGCATAAACCTTCCTCTTCAGTCATTCTATGTATTAAAAAAACCTCATAAAAATCAGTTGCGTAGTTTTAAAGGTTTAAGTACCTAAACATCTATAATTCTACACTATTATTATTATAATATTATAAATCTGGAGAGTTTGCTTGTTTTAACGAGCTAATCTACAGAACTACTAGTTTGAAATGAATAATCCTTTGTGTTTGTTAGTACATTTATTGAGGAAGGATTTAGGCTATAAAACATCACGCTACATTTTGAAGGAGACGAGCGAGTGAAACCGTGCGACAGAAGCTAGTTGGGACAGAGGAAGCTACTATGTTTCTTATATTTCACTAGCTACTCTTGTGAGGTTTCGTCCGCTGCTCGGCTGCATTTGATCATAGCGTGATTTATTATAGCCTATATATAGCACTCAGGACCATTGTAGCTATCTATCAGTTAAAGAATTTTGGCAATCCAAAGATTACCCCTTACATACAAACTTACAAATTTTACCTCTTTATAATATTAGTATAGATAAATTATGTTAATAAAACACCAAGAGCATTTTAGAAAAGTCATAGTTTTAAATTAAAACAATTAAAATTAACTACCAATGAAAACATTTAACAATAATAACAAAACTATTAACAAAATAAATGTGGATGGATGGAGAGGGAGAGGGAGACCAAAGAAAATATGGATGGATTGTGTGAGAAGTGATATGGAAGACAGAGGAGTTAGTGATAGCGTGACGGGTGACAGGACAGAATGGAAGAAAAAAACATAATATTGCGCCGACCCCAAATAAAACGGGACAAGGGCAGGAAGATGATGATGAACAAAAATATTAACAACACCAATATAATAGATTTATTTTAAACAGTTACAGAACAGTTTATAACCAAATTAACTAAAAATCGCGGGTTACTCACGTGTATATATTGAGAAAAGCTCTACTAGGCTAGTTGGCTGCGCGACGTCGCCGCGTCCGCGCACGCTGCTCATGAGGAAGAACCCCTCTGTGGTTCGAAACTAGTAGAGCTTTTATCAATTTATACACGTGAGTAACCCGCGATTTTTAGTTAATTTAGTATGTCTCACGATAGTTATTATAAAAACAGTTTATAACCATACCTACCAGTCAAGATGATTATAGAAAAAAAACCGTAGATAACATGTTACAAATATCATTTAGGGCTGATTTTTCAATGGTTAGATAAAAGTTACCTTGTTAATAATTATCATGCTGTCGCGTCAGAATGTTTGTATAAGACAGTGACAGCAACTATTTTATTCCTCAAATAACATTTATCTGACTATTGAAACATCAGTCCTTTGATTAATGACAGAAAAAAATCACATATAAGGGCCATTATTAAAGAAGAACAAGGTCTTCTTAACAAAATATCTTCAAGGGAGAAATTCAACGAAATTGATTACGTATTAAGTTTATATGGAAACATAAAACTGTCTCTTTCTCACTCAACTCTTTTAGCTGACCTTTAAAGACTTCTATTATACACTCTGATGTGGAATTAAGGCACTATTATTGGGTAGTTTCCTAGGTCAAAAATAAATGAATTCGACGTCTCGAATTAATACAATAAAAATTGTAAAATAACTATACTTTTATTCATCGATCTGTGAGTACATTAAATTTTCTACATATATTAAAGCTAAGATATAAGAAAGCTATTTGACGCAAAAGTTCTATGGCATCATAATTAGAAGTTTTATAAAAATTTCATAGAAAAGTATCGTTTTTGATATTAGGATAAAAGTATTGAATTTGACTAGTTGGAAACTACCGTACCGTAGATAAACTTTACCAAAGCTAACAGTCCAAACAACATATTTATTTACATCGAATTAAAAGTAGTAGGCGTGGTTGGACGGTTAAAAGAATTCTTACTTTCCAATTCATTCTTAGCTGCCGATTCGCTTATCGTCTGCAGTTTTCTATTTATCGACTGCAACGCAATCTGCTGTATATGCTTTCTATTGTCCAGCGTCTTTATCGCGTGCTTCAAGTCCGTCAACACCCATTTTACTTGGACATAGTCCATTATATTCGGTACTTGATACTTCAGACGCACTTTCCTCACTTCATTCAATCTCTGTGCCAGTTTATCCGCTTGTACCTGTATCAAATCTCTCTCTTTATCCAGTTGTACTGTCATACGCGCCTTATTCTTTATCGTGGTCAACACTTTGTTCAAATAATGGTTCTGCTCCATCATTGCTTTCTTGTGGATTGTAAGGTTTAAATTCGCGTCTCCCGTCAACTTCTTCAGCTCGCCTAGCTGTTCCAACTTATGGTCTATTAGCTTCAAACATTCTCCATTTTCTATCTTTAACTTTTCGAAGTCGACTGGTCGAAGGCTTTCGCTTAGTTCCTCCTTGACCTTGATCTGTCCCTTTAGTTTAATGTATTGAGTGTTCAAAGTACTGGTTCTTAGCCTTAGTTTACCTATTTGACTGTCCGATATCTTCACCCATTCAGTCATGAACCTGATCCAGATCTCGGCTGGGATACGCTGAGCTATTTTGTCCCAACCTTCAACTTTTACTTGCTGGTGGAAAAGATTACTCGCCTTCTCAATATCATTGACCCTAATGCCAATCTCTTCAAGCTGTGCTTTTAACAGAGCATGTTGTTTCGCTCCTTTCTTCCTCAATTTGTTCAGATTTGTGATTAAGGCCTCCACTTCTACCGATACTAGCTCTGATCTTTCCAAAACGTTGATTCTCGGTCCGGACCCAAATATGACTGATGTACCAAGTTTTGCGATGGAGTCTACTTTCCTAGTGGACACTCTTGAAGGGCTTGTCAGCATTCTGGAAGGGCTTAGGAATGTATCCATGACACCGAATTTAGATGGTTGCATTCTGATAAAACTTCCGGCGTTTAGCGAGGTGTTGGAACTCATTCTGGTGGCGTATTCCAGAGCTTGGTAGACTCCGTGCATCAACGTAGGTTCTAATCTCATAATAGTCTTTTCAAGAATCTCATTTTCTAATGTTAGTATGTTGAGGCTATCTTTAAGGTCATTTACTAGTTTGACAAGTTCAGCATCAGTTAGGACGTCCAGTTCGGGTCCTAGGCCACTAATGGACCTTGAAATTTGGCTTACTACACTGCTACGAACGGCTGAGTGCACTACAGTCGACATTTTAAATTACCACAAAATTATATATAAATTAAATTATGTTTTGGCGGATTTTTCACACAGAACCGTACGTACCCTATATTTGTCATCTGTCTGTCTGCCGTGTGTGAATTATTTATTCATATGTGGTTGCTAGGCGACGGTTGCCATGGTGATGTTAAGAATGACGTGTCTATTTAAATAGTTGGTCGGCCTATTTTTCGCATCCGACCTTTGAGGTTTCATAATATGGTAGGTGAACACGAATGATAATGAATATAGTTTTGAGGTTTTCGTGACTGGCATAAACTTGAGTTTTTTGAATTCAGTTTTATGGCTTTGCTTTGTCGTGCGAAAGGCTCTTTCATCGCCATAAGACTCTAAAAACGTTTTTTACTATCATTGTTTTTGTTGTTTCTAGGCTAGATAAAACTGGATGGTTGAATTATAATAGAAAAGTAGGTATTTATTATTATAGCTAACTAGCTTTTGTCACGCGGTTTCACTCGTTGCTCGGCTCCTACAAATCGTAGCGTGATGTTTTATAGCCTAAAGCCTTCCTCGATAAATGTACTAAACACAAAAAGAATTATTCAATTCGAACCAGTAGTTCTGAAGAGTAGCGCGTTCAAACAAACACTCCAGCTTTATAATATTATATATAATATATAAGTATAGCTTTAGATTAAGTTAGTTGGCAGCGAAAGATAATTAATTCTATGAAAAATATTGATATGTATAATAATTAATTAATTTTTCTCTTCTAGCCATGAAAGAAAGAAGATGTATTGGGAGCAACTGGAGCTGCGCTGTAGGTCTCTCTACCGACCTTCAGCTGGACAGGCTGCACCATCAGCTGGTAGACCGGTTCAGGTAGGCAAAGAATTCTCTTGTCCAAATATTTTATTCACATCACATCATGAGCCTATAAGTTTAATATAGGCGTCGGTTGCGGGGTAGGCGCAATAAGGCACCGCGGTCTCGGCCTAAAGCAGGAGAAGATTCAGGAGGGTTTTTTAGTCAGTAGGAGTCTGACACTCTCTCTCGCCTTACCCTGGGCGGTAGAAGTCATTGTCACAAAATAAGCCCACTGCTGAGCAAAGGCCTGTCTCAGAGAAGATTTGAGCATTTATTACCACGCTTTCTCAAGGCGGGTTGGCGATTTCAAACTTTAATAAAAAATTGTAAGTCCAGGTTTCCTCACGATGTTTTCCTTCGCTGCCAATGACATGTCAATGACACAATGAATAAATTTTTGTAAATTGGCCATAAAACAGCACTTTTACTCAGAATACAGAACAAACCAGAAGGCGTCATCGCGCTTCAAACTAAAGCAACTAAAACCATTCTCAACTAGAATAGTATGAAATGTATATTTAATTATTTATTGATTTTTTTTTATCGATTTATTTTTCTATGTAAATGATGCGGCCATTTTGTGAGTGTTGTCATTTTTGGTGAAAATTTTACCCACTTATCAATTTGTTGTGGGTTATATTTTTGTCCATTATGGAGCCTATGTCATACCAGTTCCCCTGACGACTAACAAAAAAAAAATCATACAAAGGGCACGGTTACATTAATTTCGGAAACCATCTAGCCAGAGCATAGTTTGCTCAATTTACCTTGAAGACATATATTTATGACAATATTAATTTAAATTATGACAATACATATTAAAAAAAACTAAACCATCAAAAAACGTAATAAAACCTTTGTACTTATTGAAGCTTTGTTTTATTTGTTGTGTATAGTAGGTGTAACTAAAATTAACACAGTCAGAAATCGTTAACTTTTATGATACCTCTATGAAATGTGTGAACAACTATTCTGTTGCATTTATCGTAAGTTTACCTATTTTGTTGGGTTTACCCATATCTTACCCTCCTGTTGTAAAATTACCCCAAACCAAGGGAATTGTCCCACTGTCGGCAACACTAGGCGGGTGGGAAGTGCGGCTGGCGGGGGGATTGACGTATTGTTTTTGGACACATTTGACGACATGTAATTATGAGTGAACGCGGATTCTGGTTTGTTCTGTATTCTGAGCACTTTTACACGTTAAAATATGTTAATGGTGTCCAAATAATCATAGAAAGTAAGTACATAGATATAACTCGGAAACAGTCACATTGGTACTTGGCTTTACATGTCTAACCTTAAGTACTTTTTTAAATCCTTTCTGGTAATTATACTAGTTACCTATTATTCGGTATCTTTCATTCTTCCACACCCTCATATACCATAGTATGAAGTTCATTACCAGTATATAGTAATAATAAAACCTTTTTATTTCAGAGTAACTGCAGTTGTTGCGCTCAATGTCATCCAACTCAACCGGCGTGGGATATAAGTCTGCAACACAGATTTTGGGCACCAGGTAATTATTTCAATACTTGGGTAGTTTTAAGTAAAAAATTGTAAGCATGACTATATTATTCATCATCAGCCAATAAATTCCCTCTGCTAAGCAAAGGCCTCTTCTCACACGGAGAAGGTTAGATAGAGTATTAATCACTATGCTTGCTCAAGGTGGATTGGTGATTTCAAACGACCTATGGGATACTGGTAATACCAAAGACCAACCATGTAGTTTCTTGCTCGTTCTTCTCCTAGGTTCACTAGAGGACAGACGGACAGACTGACACGCTTAAAGATAAAGCTCTTTAAATACTTTTTTAACTTTTTTTTGCTTGACGTTCAAAAGTGCCTACTGTGGTCTAATTGAAATAAATGATTTTGACTTTGAAAGGAGTTTATAAGTGCTTTGCCGGCCTCTATGGGTTATTAGGGATTTAAGAATTAAGGATTTGAGGGTCGAGGATGTATAACGCTTTAAAATGATATCATTATGCGTAGTATAGACAAACTTTAAAAGAATAGTTTTAGGAGTCGGCTTCACAATATCTGAATAGCCGTTATGTTATTGTTTTCAATGACGTATTTTGTTTTTTTAAAAACGTTGCCTCACACATATTTTTCTCCTGTGTCGTGGCTGTGTTTACAAACATAGAAATTCACATACACTTAAAAAGGGGTAATTAAGGCAAACTAAGAGATATATAATGATTTTTCGAAATATTTGCCTTTTCAAAAGCTTAGCCATAGCCTTAGCAATGATTATCATAATACGTTTAATTAATAGTTTGCAGCGGACAAGCTTTACGAGTTTCGAGCATGGTCGAATGTTTTCGAAGCCACAGTGGGGCTCATAGAATTAATATCAACTGTTATTTTCTTTCAGGTCGTATAGGCAACCTATACTCTCCCAACCCCGGTACAGGCAGGAAGACCTCAGCTTGGAGCTGGTTCCCTTGGCCCAGGAGTAATAGTCAGAAGTAAGTTCAAGGTTTTATTACTGAGTGGGGAAAATATTTTGAGTTAAAATTTTATTTCTGGCTTGTTAGTTAAGGGTGACTGTCAGGTAGTTTTCGAGTTCGATTTCTAGATTATGAGCACCTAAAGAATTTAAGATTTCTGTATAGTGGCAACGCAACTTTTCGAAATAGAAATAAACCATATTTTCTTATTAAGTTCTCTCTCTCTCTCACCATTACAATAATATTCAATTAAGGTCACGACAATTGAATTGTATGTTTGTAAACGCACCCACGACGCTAGCTCATAAAAAGCATCTAATTGATGCTTTTTAATGACTTTTCCCTTCAATAGTATTTACTCCTGTGTCGTTGGTGCATTTACAAACATACAATTTCACATACACATCACACCCAGACCCGGAACAACAATTTGTGGATAACAAAAAGAATTGTTCCGTCCGGGAATGGGTGTACCCTATACGTATTATGGCAATTCTTGATAAAACCATATTTCTTTCAGTTCTCGCTGCAGAATGGGTGTGCCCCAATCAGGGGATAGTGCCTACGGATTTTGCGAAACGGAAGCTGCGCAAACGCAACAAACGCAAGGATACGACGACAGATACCCTCACTCGTTCAACCAAACTCCGTTCAATAGAGCGCAGACTTCTGGCACGTTTGCGCAAGGAACCAGTTTTGCGCAAGTACAAGGAAACTTTGCGCAAGGATCGGGAAGTTTTGTTCAGGTATGTTGTTGTTAGAGTTCAAATTCAATTCAAATCCAAATTCTTTATTTGCATGTTAAGGAGGGTACAAGGATCTTAAATTAAAATAACAGGCACAGCTTAACGGCCTTTTTCAGGCGTTGCAAAGAGGGCTATTACTAGCTTATAAAATAATATTAAATTACTTAATTTACATCACATTGTATAAAAGAGAAAAAAAACAAAAAAGTTAAGAATTAGATAAATCAAAAATAAAAAAAAAGTTGTTAGTTGAGTTAGTAGGTTTTTAGGGTTAGGGTTTTAACATTAATGTTGGTGTTCTATTTTCCTTCGAAGAATTCTTTGGTTAAGTAGAAACATTTTTGTATTAAGAACTTTTTTAATTTCCTCTCAAATATTATTTCCTTCCTTTCGTTATGAAGGTCTTTCGGTAATCTATTGAATATTTTGACTGCCATGTAGTAAGGACTTTGGTTAAGCATTTTAATTCTAGATGGTGGTAGGTACAGTCTGTTTTTTTTTAGGCATGTTGTAAAAATCGGTTATTTCAATGACGACAAACAGACACTCCAATTTTATCGACATCTAAAGAAGTTAACCTTAATTTCATAAAAATTATATATAAATAATTCTTCTTTACAGGGCCAAGGTAACTTCCCTCAGCCGAATTTCTCTCAAGAAGGCTTTGGCGAGGCGAGTGGAAGTTTCGACGCGGCGACCGGAGTATGGGGACCTCCCCCTCCTTATAGTCCTCAGGGACGGAGTGGTAGCAGGTATTTATTTATTTATGTCTATATTTACTTTAACATAAGACAAATCACAGAAGAAGAACTAACAAAAGATAAAGAGATTTTTTTTTTTTTTTTTGTGAGGGGAAAATCATCAAATGACTTCTCCCGCCCAGGGCCGGGCAGGAGGGAGTGTCAGACTCTTACTGACTAAAAACCCCCCTGTTCCTTCTCCTGCTCTGTGCCGAGGTCGCGGTACCTTATTGTGCTTACCCCGCAACCCCGGCTGAACATCAGCCCTTTAGGGCCCCGTCTGTGGTGGTCTATTGGCTCTTTGATGCGCGCGCGGAACGCTACGCGCCGTACGCTCGGGCCTGGTTCTGGTCGGGCGGCGAGCTGCCCTTACTCGCCGACCGCAAGATAAAGAGATTGACCTCTGAGTTTGGTTCGATATTTCTTCTCAGAGTAGTCTGACAGGAAATGGTAGCTTATCATTAGAAATTAAAAAAGTAATCTATACTAGCATTATAAAACTGAATAGTTCGTTTGTTTGAACGCGTTTGTTTGTGTTAGGTAGTCCATTTATCGAGAAAGGGTATATAAGTTATAAAGAAAACATCACGCTATGACCAATAAAGCTGATAAAAAAAATATTGGGAAGACGCTAATTAACAAATAATTCTCACATTTCATCTCTCTCTAACGGCATTATTTTCTTTTTCCAGACACCATCTCCACCATCAAGATCCCGCAGCAGCCACACTCCTACACCACCACCACATGGACCATCGCACCAACATCCACGACCATCCATCTAACATCCAACCCCACACATGCGCTAGAAACAGCTACTTAATGCATCAAAACCTACCACCAACCGAACTCAACCGAATAAACCCCGACTTAGCCCGAATCAACCCGGAATTAGCTCGTATAAACCCGGAACTAGCTCGAGTAAATCCGGAATTGGCTCGAATCAACCCGGAACTGGCGGAATTTGCTCGTTTAAATCCGGATTTGGCTCGTTTGAATCCGGAGTTGGCTCGTTTGAATCCGGAATTGGCTCATATGGGGCAGATGTATCCTCAGGATGTGACGGAAATGGCTCGTTTACAGGCAGAATTGGCTCATATGCCGCCTGAAGCGCGGTTTAACACTTTGCGGGGTCATTTAGTCCCGTACAGATGTCAAAGGTTGGGAATGAGCGCTAGTAACTTACACAGAGATTGTAGGATTGATGATACTGTCGCTATTGAGTGCTTGCATCAGAAATCTGTTAGTAAAGGTTAGTATTATCTATATTAATATTATAAAGCTATGTGAGTTTGTTCGTTCATTCAATCAAATGGAGCTACGGTTGGTTGCGGGGTAAGCGCAATGAGGCACCGCGACCTCGGCCCAGAGCAGGAGAAGGAACAGGGGGGTTTTTAGTCAGTAAGAGTCTGACACTCCCTCCCGCCCGCCCCTGGGCGGGAGAAGTCATTTGATGATTTTCCCCTGACAAAACAGAGTCCCGGACTTTTAGAGGGGCCGAAGCCAACTCGCAGAGGCCCGTTGAACAACTTTAGTATTAGTGAAATGGGGTATTATCCCTGTATGCACTATCAAAGTGCACCAGTTGATGATTAGGCAAGAAAAGATACTCATGTTAACCATTTATTGACTCAGCGAACTTCGCACCGTCTTAAATTAACTAAAATCTGAAAATGTAAGTATCTGTCTGTCTGCTATGTTTACTAATGTATGTTTTGTCCAGTTTCAGATCAAAGCTCAGATTCCTGTCAGAAGCAGGGCAAAGAAAACCTGGGCTTCCAGAACGATAAGCATTCTCCAATAAGGTTAGTACCCACTTTTTCTCATATTTATTCTATTCTAATATTTTAGAGGAATGATAGCTTTTTTTTTCTACTAAATCTAGGTAGTGTCTTGGTGGCCCAGAGGTTAAGGGGCCCGCTTCTCATGCATGAGGGTGAGGAAAAAAATCATCAAATGACTTCTCCCGCCCAGGTTCGAGAGGGAGTGTCAGACTCTTACTGACTAAAAAACCCCTCCATTCCTTCTCCTGCTCTAGGAAACCCCGGCTGTCATGCATGAGGGTGCGGGTCAAAACCTGGCCTAGGGCCCACCCACGAAGGCTTCTTCTCAGACGGAGAGTTTGAGCATATACACCACGCTTGCTCAAGGCGGATTGACGATTTCAAACTTATAATTAGAAATTATAAGTCCAGGTTTCCTCACGGTGTTTACCTTCACCGTATGTCGGTGGTGTCTAAATAATCAAAGTCAAAGTCAAAATAATTTATTTCAATTAGACCCATACAAGCACTTTTGAACGTCAACACAACTTTAAAGATACAAAGTGTCAGTCTGTCGGTCAGTCCTCTTAGTGAAGCTATTCATCATGGAATAAGTACATATTACTCGGAAAAAGTCCCATTGGTACTTGCCAGGTTTCGATCCCTCATGCATGAGAAGCGGGCCACCACGATATAAAAAAAAAACATATTAAATCTTCTTTTTCTTTTGCGTAGGTCATCCATGCAAGACTGTCGCGCCGCCAATCAGAATGCGGAATCCGAAGTATACTTCGCTGACGTGTCTAGCTGTTGCAACGTGTCTGTTAAGGTAAGTTTTTATTATGTTCTAACTCGGTAAACGAGCTGACGGATTACCTGATGGTAAGCAATCAGCGCCGCCCATGGACACCCGTAGTACCAAAGGAGTTACTACAAATGCGTAGCCGGCCTCTTGTGGCTTATTAGGGATTAGAGGATTGAGCATGAGGGGAATTGGGCCTCCAGTAACTTACTCACACGGCGAAACACTAAGCTGGGGTTGTTTCACGCCGGTTTTCTGTAAGGCCGTGGTATCACTCCGGTCGAGCCGACCCATTCGTTAAGTACCTACACTTAGCGTAAGTTAAGTTGTTTCGGTTCAATTTTAAATTATTAAGTTTTTGGATCTTCCTAAACCAATAATATCTTTATAGGCTGAATGCTGCATGAATGCCAACGTCTCAGCTCTAGTGGGCACCATAGAGAACCATCCAGAGTCAACGTCGGAGTCCGACACAGGGTCCTTTACCCTAACGCGACAGCAGCGCCCCCAACCGCAAGTCGGATCCAAGCGGAGACCAAGGCAAGCTGAGAAACACATCAAAAACCAAGAAAAAATGAGACAAGTTCTAAATAACTCAATAAGATTGACCGAACATCAAATTGAACAGCTCAACAATTCCATGAGAATGAATGAACGAATGGAACGTGAACGAATGAGCGACCGTATGAATGAGACCAGGTTAAGTGAACGCATAAATGATTCTAGGGATAGGTTAAACGATAGAGAGCGCATTGAACGTATGAATGATTGTAGGATTAGTGACCGAATGAATGAAACAAGGTTAAGTGAGAGAATGAACGATTCCAGGGATAGATTGAATGAAGGGAGGGTGTGTGAACGTGAACGAATGGAGAGGTTAAATGACTCACGTATTAGTGACAGAATGAATGAAACAAGGATGAGCGAGCGTATGAACGAAACAAGAATGAGTGAGCGCATGAACGATTCCAGGGACAGACTAAATGATTCACGGAATTGTGAAGTGATTGATCCTAGAATAGAAAGAATGAACGATTCCAGAATCAGCGATAGAATGAATGAAACTAGAATAAGCGAACGTATGAACGATTCACGCGTCTGCGAGCGTATGAACGAAGCAAGAATGGAAAGAATGAACGATTCTAAACTAAGTGACAGGAGTGATACCCGTCACAGTGACCGAATGAACGACTCCCGTCTTGAACGCTTGAACGACTCGCGTCTTGAACGAATGAGTGAGATGAACTCAAGCATTCGTATCGACGGTAGTCCAAAAATGCGTACACACATAAGTCCGTTACGTATACCTAGATCTAGTCCTAAGAACGTGCCTAAGGATCATCCTAGGCAATCAAGTTCAGACTCGAATAAGCCAGAATTCAGGCAAATATCGCCTTTATCTCCTAATACGGAGGAGTCGTTGTTGTCTGATGATGATAGGCCTCAGGACCAAGTCTATTCGAACGATCCTGAGACTTCCAAGTGCTTAGGACCAGATTCTCAATATGAACCTGTTAGAGAAAGTAAGGAAGAGATCTTGAAGACCAACCACCATCATTGCTATAGTGATACTAATACTATGGATTCTGGATGGCAGAGTGGGTCTGAGAAACAGGTAACTGATTGATTTTTAATTTAAAATTATAGGAGTTAGAAAATTAATGACTTCCATTATCCCTTTTTTTTACTGTCAATCAAAATTTGTTTTGATTGTTTTGTCCATTTTTTTTGGAGGCCGTCCATAAATTACGTGTGTTATCCTTTTAAATTTTCCCTCCCCCCTTTGATTGGATTTTGTTTTACCTCCTCCGCTTTCCCCAAATCTCACTTGAGATTAGATGAGTTTTGAATCTCCCCCTTTATCCCCACACTTAATTAATGGACGACCCCTTAGTATTTTCTACGTTTAGTAGACATTGTTCAGTAAGTAAAATTTTAATAATATTAATAAAAATATTCCCTTGTCAAGTGTTCCACGTGCTGTGTATAATTAAGAGAGTGGTTTTTAAAAGTTTTATAATTAATACATTCGATTTATTGAGAATGTGAGTTTGAAATTGTAATTACTATATAAATATTTTCCCTTGAGCCAAATTAAATGATACTATAAAACCCCAATTATCTTCAAAACTTTTACAAAAGTAATTCATTGAATGCATTCATTTCGTTCATTCATGTTCACCATTCATTCACCCCAATTTTTATTGAACATTCATTCATTAACCACCATTCTTCCATTCGTTTCATTCAATGAATTATTTTTGTCAAGAGTGACTTGCCAAATTTCCGAATTTTACATAATATTATTAATTTCAATTTTAATAATACATTATGTAAAAACATTATTATGTATGATAAAAGTCGACGTGTTTTATTGCTCTCTATAAAATATTGAGATTATTATTTTAATTTTTTTAAATGGCTATAAATAGAAACGAATTTTTAGATCGCGTAGAAATGTAATGTATAAAGAATTTTCGTTATAATTAACTATTATTATTATTAGGTATAAATTGAGAACATTGATGTATTTTACTTTACGTAAATGTACTAAAAATATATACACCTATTCATTAAAATCATTAAACAGATATTCTTTGTACGTTTCTAAATATCAGTAACTGACATACCGTACGGCAGTTTCCAACTAGTCAAATTCAATACTTTTATCCAAATGTCAATAACGATACTTTTCTATGAAATTTGTATGAAACTCCAAATTATGACGACACAGTATATTTAGGTCAAACAGCTCACATACTTGTTAAAAAATATCGATAATTTAGTGTATCGATAGATCGAAAAGCATAATTATTTTTTCAATATTTTATTGTATTGAAACGTCGAATTAATTTATTTTTGACTTAAGAAACTACCCAATTACTTATTATTTTTTATACCTACATCCATCCGTCCACCCATTTTGTTTATAATTCTATTCGTTCATTCACTTAGGTTTTGGACAATATAAATATTAAAAGGTTGTCGACTTTAACAAGTAAAGCCAAAATGCTTGCCAACAATTAAAATTAATGAACGAAATCAAATTGATTTTCATCATTCATTCGTTTTTCTTCAGTACCTTGTGTATTTTACTAGCCTAAACTAAGGCTACTATTTTTGTAATACCATACGACAATAGTCTATGAATAAAAAAAATATTATTTTATTCAAAAAACCAATAAGATAATTCCTCTTTTAATTTTTATTTTTTATAATTCCATTTTGAAAGCAATAATGTAACCTTTTTTGTTGTAAATATTTTTATAAAATAATAAATTCGTTATTATTATAAGTATTTTGTAGAGTAACTTTTTCTGTATTATTTTATACAGGGTGTGGTAATATTTTAATGTGATTTTTTTATTTTGATATTTAGATATTTCTGTAATTTAGAAAGAATGTATGAAGATAGTATTATTATAATACTTGTAAGACATACATTTTTATTAGTTTGAATGGTTAGATGTTGGCGTTAAAATGTTACTACACTGTATTTAAGTAGTTGCTAGTTATCACTGTAATGCCACTGTGGAATTGTTTTATCAATTATTATTATGTATTTATATAAGTACAGTCTAAACGATTTTTTAACGCTCTCGGATGACGATGGCAAAAATAATTTGTTCATCTGTATAAAACATTGTCTACATATTGAAAAACACTGTGTACATTCGTTATACTAGTAACCTAAGTATGTTGGAAGTTAAATAAGTTATATTATTATGTTTAAGTTATTTTTAATTCATTTAAATAATTGTGAAATATGTAAAGTTTCTTTAAAATGTACTATGAAAGAAATGTTGTGAAGAAATCATTTGCTATTTTCAACTTTAAGTACTAGGTTTTTTTCTGTAATTCATAAACTTCATAACATATTTGTCATCCCCATATGATATATGAAAAATCTTCCTAAAATGTCTGACTTTACAATGTAAATTATGTTTATATTGAATGTACTCAAATCAGAGACCTAAAAATTTTGTTTCACTAGGAGACTTCAAAAATAAACGATTGTTATTCACTCTTATTAATTATGAAAATAATAAAACGGACAAACTGATTATGTTTCCTAAATATATTTATATTTTAAAATATGTCTCAAAATACTAAGATCTACAAATAGTAAAAAAATCCTAAATTTTGATTGTGAAGCGGCTAGTTTTGCAGTCTGTAAAGTAAGTTCCTGATAGTTAATTTGCAAGATAAAACTGACACTAATACATAAATATTATCCTGAAGTAAATTAATAAAAAGAAAACTATGCGAAAAATATTCTGCCAGTCCATCCCGATCTGACAACATTTTGAATGAATGATAGAATTCATTCGTTCTAATGTCTCATTCATTCATTCATTCATTTGAATTCTTTTTAACGTCGATCTAGCCTGTGTAATTATTAACTATTTTTAATAATTATTACCTACCTATGTGGATTTATTAATAATAAAAAATAATATGTACGAAATATAGTTGTGATTTCATTTTATTATTAACGATATTAGATTATTGATAATTGTATGTAATAAGTTTAAGTTTCATTGCTATGTACCTATATTGTTAGATTGATTTAATGATAACGGTTCTATTAAAAGACTGAAATCTGAAAACTATTTTTTATTATCACCATCCACGAACCCCTCAGTTTGTTAGACCCGCAGCTGATTGAGATATATTTTCTTACCTTTAGTTGAGTGCAATGAAGATTTTTTATTTATTTATTATTTCTTCTTCACACAAAACAGTCTGAATGGCGGACTTAATGCCTTAAGGCATTCTCTAACAGTCAACCATAGGGCGGTGCAGAGAATTTTTGCAGTTGGTCCGAAGCTAGGACACAATACATAGTCCTAGAACAAATGAGAGGAGAAAGAAAATGGAAGAAACAAGGTTAGGATTTTTGTATTATTATTTCGTAATGGGCTAGCATTTGGCATTTACGATGGAAAACGCCTGCCCTTAAGCAACCTATTTACTCGGGCCTTTTTTATGGGACAAGTCGACAAATGAACAGACGGATTACCTGATGGTAAGCAATCGGCGCCGCCCATGGACATCCGCAACAGCAAAGTTTCGAGCGCGTGGATGGCCTTTTGGGATAAGGGTTTCGGATATTTAAGGATTGGGAAGGGACTGAGAGGGAAGAAATTGGGCCTAAGGTAACCTCACTGACACGGCGAAACACAACGCTGTGGCCTGTGGATCTTTCACGCCGGTTTACTTTGAGACCGTGGTATCACTCCAGTCGAGCCGACCCATTCGTGCCGAAGATTGGTTTTTCCACACTTAAAGAATTTAGACCTACGATGGAGAACGCTTACCAACCAACCGCAAAGCAACCTATCCACTAGGGTCTTAAAAGATACCCATGATAGATGTTATACCCCTTCGGGGAACACAGACTCCGGCAAAGAGTTCCACTCCTTAGCAAAGATAGGAGACCAGTGATGTGACAATACCGGTGACTTATTATTTGCAGCGTGACTGCCTGCCGACGCGTGCGTTCGTGCAGCGGAATGTTGTTGAATTTAAAGATTTTAATTATGCAGATATTTAGTGTATGACGTCGTATAATTGTGTATGGTAAAAAAAAATTTGTGCACGCAACCATTGTGGAGAAATTCACCAAAAACTGATTCCGCTGGGCGAACGTTGTCCTGGCGGAACTTTTTTTAATCCATAGACTTTAGAAGAAAAGAGATGTATCCAAAAATTAGTGTGTATTTGTGTGTAATTGTGTATGTATGAATAAAACTAGTGCATGCATAAACTTCGGAGAAATTCAAGTTTCCGCTACGCGAACGTTTGGCCATTAGCTAGTTTTCATATAAAGCGCTTACATAGAGAGCTGTAGATTTTTACATACGTTGTTTTGAATTTGTGTATATTTGTTTAAAAAACAGATTTAGAAAAAATCGTAGGGTTTAAAAGATAAAAATATAAACGTAAAATACGCTTATTAGGTCTTAGCTCTTAAAGTATGCACTTTAGGGTCTAGATTTTCACGTTTATACAAACCTTGTAAGTGTCTGCAACATGTTGCCAAGTATCAATGATGTTCCGTTAGTAATTAAATAGTTATAGGACAAATTTACCATGAATAGATCACTGTTTACAAAGCAGTCAAATATCACGACGTTCTAAATGAATTGCATGGTAAAATGTATGCCAATAATTAGTGTATTTATTCAACTATTCACATGCAAAATTTCATGTCATTAAATTCAGTAATTAAAGAAAAACAATTATAATACTGACGAAGCATCGAAAACCTACATAACCCGACCAAGTTCGGATGGCTACAAAAAAGCGGCCGTGCCATATATCTAAGAAACGTTCTTAACTTTCCAATATAGCATTTATTAATATGGTACATTATCGTACACAAGCGTTAGGATAAAATTAAACACAGTATCGTACACACGCTCGTGCATGCCTCTATTGGTTAAATAGTGTAATAAAAAATATTGGATAAATAGTGAATTAAGCTACAATATGATAAATGTTTACCTAAACAGTAGTACTTAAGTACTTACATGTGGTAAATATTTAATTTCCCTAAGGGGTCTATAGTTAGAATCCTGATCAGAGAAATCTTCAATAGAAATTAGCTGTATGAATTTTATTTGTCTTAAATATAATTAGATTATATCTCAAATCTCAAGCGCATACTTAAATAAAGTACCTACGTAAATAGTACCTACTTTCTGTCATAGTCAAATACATTTAAAAAAGTAGGTGTCCAAAAATAAATGACCTATAAATTATTTCGAAACAACAAGTGTGTTATCACCTGTACCAATTCAATACCGGTATTATACTGTAAATTTTGGGATGTTACCTAAATATATTGAACAGCCGCTTTTTTGTAGCCATCCGAACTTGGTCGGGTTATGTAGGTTTTCGATGCTTCGTCAGTATTATAATTGTTTTTCTTTAATTACTGAATTTAATGACATGAAATTTTGCATGTGAATTGTTGAATGAATACACTAATTATTGGCATACATTTTACCATGCAATTCATTTAGAACGTCGTGATATTTGACTGCTTTGTAAACAGTGATCTATTCATGGTAAATTTGTCCTTTAACTATTTAATTACTAACGGAACATCATTGATACTTGGCAACATGTTGCAGACACTTACAAGGTTTGTATAAACGTGAAAATCTAGACCCTAAAGTGCATACTTTAAGAGCTAAGACCTAATAAGCGTATTTTACGTTTATATTTTGTTTGTTTGTTTTTTAAACAAATATACACAAATTCAAAACAACGTATGTAAAAATCTACAGCTCTCTATGTAAGCGCTTTATATGAAAACTAGCTAATGGCCAAACGTTCGCGTAGCGGAAACTTGAATTTCTCCGAAGTTTATGCATGCACTAGTTTTATTCATACATACACAATTACACACAAATACACACTAATTTTTGGATACATCTCTTTTCTTCTAAAGTCTATGGATTAAAAAAAGTTCCGCCAGGACAACGTTCGCCCAGCGGAATCAGTTTTTGGTGAATTTCTCCACAATGGTTGCGTGCACAAATTTTTTTTTACCATACACAATTATACGACGTCATACACTAAATATCTGCATAATTAAAATCTTTAAATTCAACAACATTCCGCTGCACGAACGCACGCCCTGCCGACCTCACTCCCGACAAACTTCGAGTTCAGAATGAATCAAATTTATAGAATTTACATCATTTTGTACTCTTGAGTTCGACACCAAAGCGCGATCGTGTTGCGGCTCGAAAAGATACTAGCTTTTTTCTAAATGACTTCGCCGCACAGGGTGAGGTAAGAGGGAGTGTTAGACTCTTATTGATTAAAATGCCCCTGTTCCTTCTCCTGCTCTCGGCCGAGGCCGCGGTGTCTTATTGCGTTTGCCCCGTAACCCCGGCTGAACATCTCAACCTAGGCGGGAGAAGTCATTGGATGATTTTCCCCTGACAAAAAAATAAAATAAAAAAAAGGAAGGTCAAGAAACGTCAAATCACACGATAGCAAAAAAATATGGAAACAGTGCGGTAGTTTAGTGTATTTATTAGTAAATAATCGTCCGTTTTGCGATTACACTTGAACGTAAGATGATTTTGGTTTTCAATTCGTCTTGATTCAAGATTACGTACCACTTCCGATCGAGTGAGGATCAAAAATTAATCAGAATCGGTTTTGGGAGTAAGCCTATACATTACTAAGGGAGTTTGTTCACTAGTGTTGTACGAGGTGTAAGGTCGTAGGTAGATATCAAACGCATTCGTGACCGTAAAAGTTTATTGTTTATAAAGAGTTCAAGAGCACTAACTTAATCTTAATGTTAAAAATGTTAATGTTTATGTTATTTGATGAATGCACCCGTTCTGTTCGCGATCGACAAGTACACTGATGTCGCGTATGTTCATGTTAAAACAATACATTAAAACTGCTTCGTAAGCAGGTGTTCGGGTTTATACCGAACAAATGTCTTTTTTTTTTTCTACTTATTTCATTGTAAAATCCATTACATTGTCATTCACGAACGGTTTCAGTGAGCGCATTGTAACAATAGCTAACAAATATCATGATCACAAAAAGTAGATGCGTATACTAATTATACTCATCGGAGCTAACGAGGTCTTCCCTAAATCCTCTCTACCGTTTATCGTGTCCAGGTGGTGCCGGTTGTGCGGGCGTGCTTCCGACCAGTTTAGTTTTGCGGGGCAACCGCAATAAGGTGCTTCGGCCTCGGCCTGAAGCAGTAGCAGGAAAGGAGGTTAGTTAGGTTTTTTAGTCTGACTCTCTCGCCATACCCCGAGAGAAGTCATTTGATGATTTTCCCTCCACAAAAAGAAGCGTTAATTGAGAATATAGCAAACCAATCTAGTGTAGAAGAGGCCCTTAGTCTAAGGCCCGCCGCTAATACGGTAGTTTCCAACTAGTTAAATTCCATACTTTGGGTTTAGAATAGCTCCATCCATGAATACTGTCTCATTGTGTAGAAATGGACTCAAGCCCGCCGCTAATACGGTAGTTTCCAACTAGTTAAATTCCAGACTTTGGGTTTAAAACAGCTCCATCCGTGAATACTGTCTCATTGTGTAGAAACGGACTCTCAATTCTCAACGCTTGGGACAGCAATTTACCAAGATAACATAGATAAGGTTTGTTAGAGAGAGCTGCTGCTAAAGTTTGTAGTGTCAAATGTGTAGTTCCATACTCTATGGTTACACATCTATTCTTCTCGGCATCGGATACCGCTACATAGTATAAAAGAAAGTCGCTTTCTCTATCGCTTTTTTTTGTCAGGGGAAAATCATCCAATGACTTTTCCCGCCCAGGGTAAGGCGAGAGAGAGTGTCAGACTCTTACTGACTAAAAACCCCCCTGTTCCTTCTCCTGCTCTAGGCCGAGGTCGCGGTGCCTCATTGCGCTTACCCCGCAGCCCCGGCTCTTTCTCTATACCTACATCTTTATTCATGCGGTTCTGTGATTAGAAATTCATTAAATGACTTTTCACGCCCATGGTGGGACAAGAGGGATTGTCACACTCTTACCGACAAAAAAACTCCGTTGCTTCTCCTGCTTTAGGCTGAGGCTGCGGTGCCTCATTGCGCTTGTCCCGCAACTCGTGTGTGTATGTATGTATCTTTGACTCTACGCAACGGATTTTGATGAGGTTTTTTTAATAGGTGGAGTGATTTAAGAGGAAGGTTTATAGGTATAATAACATCTATGAAATAGTGGAGAAATTTAGTATCAGCATTGTATCCATGCGAAGCCGCGATGGGTCGCTAGTGTGGAATAAATTGTAATATTATGATATTAAATAAAACACAAAAATATATATTTTTAATTTCCTTTTTTATTGTTTTATTCTTAGTCGAATTCCTAAACTTAAAGTTATGCGTAGGACCCTCTTTGCAAATAAAGTCATAGATAATTTATAACTCCTAAACGGATGTGTCAAAAATGTTGGCATTTTTTTCAAAATATAGTTGAATTTAAGTACTTATTTAGCTAGAAGGATAGAGTAATGAAGAAATTAAAAGATCCTTAAAATATATCTAGTTTTGAATTTCTTTTAAGTATTAACATTTATTTGAAGTACGTTTTTTAGGCTAAATTACTAAATCTAAACTTTACTATATTTGTAAAAAGGGTCCTAAGAAAGCTTAGTCAAAATAATAAAATCACAAAACGTGAAAGTGTGAGTGTTGCAAGCACCAATAAGAAGAGTAAAAAATAAAATGTATTTTGTTTCCAAAGTAAAAAAAAATGGCCGATGACAGTTTTATTTTTTTTCTTGTAAAAATAAAATACTATAATGGAGGAAATGTGTAAATAATAAAGATATTTGAATAGGTAATAAAAATAATATTTAGGGCTGATTTTCAATAGTCAGATAAATGTTATCTGAGGAATAATATTGTTGCTGTCACTGTCTTACACAAACATTCTGACGCGACAGCATCATTTTTTTTTATGTAATAGATCTGCAAACGAGCACACCGATTACCTGATGGTTATGGCAACGGAGGAGTTACGAGTGCCTTACCGACCTCTTAGGGATTAGGGTTTTGGAGATTTAATGATTGGGGAGGGATTGGGGAGGGGAAGGATTGGGCCTCCGGTAACCTCACTCACACGGCGAAACACAACGCTGTGGTTGTTTCACGCCGGTTTCGCACATCATAATAAAATTATTCCTCAAGTAACTTTTATCTAACCATAGAAAAATCAGTTCTTAGAGAACAAGTTTGGTATGGCGCGTAGCTACAGAAATCTGTGATAGAATTTTTTTTTTTTTGGGACTATCGTTTCGTTTTGCTCACAAAATGGTTCTGTATATTGTGCAAAATTTAATAATATATCGTTTGACATAAGCTACTTTTCTACTTGAAGGACCGACAGTCGTTTCTTCACGGCAAAAGTTCTCTGCGCCGTTCACGCCGAGAATAATATTTAGTCTGTGGTATGGTAAAGTGAAAAAGACATATTTCTTACAAATTTAAATGTTAAACGAACTAAAAGTATTAATATTCACAATAAAATTGATTGGTCCGAAACTATCTATTGAACAGTAATTATAAGACTAGTGGACTTAATGCATTGCATTATCTTGAGATGAGACGCACATTATCTATTGTATAAAAATTTCTCGTGTAACAAAGTTACCTTAATCCTCCGAAACGGCTTTACTGATTTTTACCAAATTTTATGTGTATATTCAGTAGCTCTGAGATTAGGCTACTGGCTATTTTCCATTCCCCTAAGTGATAAGGGTTGTTCAATTATATTATGTTTTCGAAGTCATATTTATTGTATGAAATCGTTTGCCGGATTAGCTAGTAGAAGTGCAATCGGCGCTGCCCATGGACATTTCTTAACACCAGAAGAGTTACTGATTTGCCAGCCTTTTGGGGGTCCTAAGGGATTTAAGGATACTTCTTTGTTGTCGTTTAAATATTCAGCAATACAAGAATTTGGTACGCAGATAGGAAGTCGACATTAGTCCAAAGATTCTGAATTTCATAATTACAAAATAGTTTCTTACTAGAGTTTTTTTTGGATTTGATAATGTGCGCTCATTTGACACTGGTAGTAAATCATTAAAAACAAAACTTAATTAGTTACTTACGGTTCTTACCTAAGTTATTTTTAATTAAAATCACTTTATTTTATTTCTATATTCGATTTAATATCTACGGAATGGTTTAGAGCGATTATTATTAAAAAATAAATTGAAATGTACTTGTTTTTATTAGTTATTTGGCAAATAAGTACGTTATTATTATGATAATATGAAAAAACAATACAAAATTCAAAAAGAGTTTTCAAATTCGGACGGATTCGTATTAAACTTTCAAAATAGCTTCGAAATGTCACCATTGACAATGGCGCTACGAGCACTAAAATCAAATGTCATTCGTTTTTTTTTTAATTTAATTTTCTAAAAGGGAATTTAGTCTTTTTAGTTTTAGTCGAGAATTTGTTTTAAATTTGTTTATTGCGTTTCTATTTGAATAGGAGTAACAGACTAATGAGAAGTAATAAGCTACTGGTTAGGGTGCTAGCTTTGTTTAGGACTAATGTTTCTTGGTCGTAAACTAGTACATTCTTGGCTGTGTGTTCTGCCACGGTCGCTGGTGTTCCATCCATGTCTCCTAGACGCTGGTTTGCTACCTTCAAGTTCCGTAGAAGGGCCAGAACGTCTTCTGTAAAAATGGGAAAACATAGGTAAGTTTGATAGCCTTTTTTTGTAGAGGGGTAAAATCAAATGAGTTCTCTCGCCCAGGGTATGGTGAGAGGGAGTGACAGACTCTCACTGACTGACAGCCCGCTGTTATCCCATCTGGCTATTTGCCCTAGTGGGGCCCCATCTGTAGTGGTTTGATGGCTCTTGATCTATACAATCACTACATAGTATAAAATAAAGTCGCTTTCTCTGTCCCTACATCCCTATGTATGCAACGGATTTTGATGCGAGTTTTTTAATAGGCAGAATGATTGTAGGAGAAAGTAGCATTGTACCCATGCGAAGTCGGGGCGGATCGCTAGTAATATTATTAGTTACTGGAGTTTGTTTGTTCGTTTGTTTGTTTACATTCGCTTATCTACAGAACTACTGACTCAAATAGCTAGTAAAGAGATATGTCGGCAAACGAGTGAATAGAACCTGATGGTAAGCAATTAGCATTGCCCCGTTTCACCTGTTATACTAGAAAAAAAAATACATTAATCAAAATATTTTCTTCTAACCTGCATTAGCATTCTGGCCTTCTTCGTAATCGACCTTGATGAAAGTGGTTAGCGAGACTTCATAGACTTTGTTGGCGTCACTTCCGGAGCTAATGGCGCGTCGCTTCCGGCCGTACGCTATCTGGCCGTTGCTGCATTGGACCTGAAAATATCATTTAAGAATTAGTTCGTTTTGTTATTTCTATAATCCAATCTGAACTGAATATATAAATAAAACTATAGTAGATAGGTGTACTGCAATTGGTTTCATAACGTTGTAGCTGTGGTAGCAGTATGTTTCTTACTGTATTTTTTTGTGATAAGACTGCGTACTGTCTGACGGATTACCTGATGGTAAGCAATCGGGCCCATGGACATGCCCATGAACACCTATGCAATACTAAAAGAATTACGAATGCGTTCTCAGCCCTTTTTGGGGAATAGTGAGTCGAATATTCAGAAATTGGGGTATGGGAAGAAGGATTAGGCCACCGATAACCACAATCACACCCTAAGCTGTGGAGAGCCATGCTTCGGCACGAATGGGTCGGCTTGGCCGGAGTGATACCACGGCCCCACAGAAAACCGGCGTGAAACAACCGCTGCGTTGTGTTTCGCCGTGTGAGTTAGGTTACCGGAGGCCCAATCCTTCCCCTTCCCCAATTTCTCCTCAATCCCTAAATCTCCAAATCCCTAATCCCTTAAAGGTCGGCAACGCACTGGTAACTCCTCCGTTGCGAGTGTCCATGGGCGGCGCTGATTGCTTACCATCAGGTAATCTGTCTGCTCGTTTGCCGACCTTTGATAAAAAAAGAAGCTAAACCCTTATTTGAAGAATTTCATTCCCGTTCAGGCTCATGAAAGATTTGGGAGATTGGAAAAAGTTATTTTTTCAGTTTATCGAAGATTCTCAGTAATAGCTTGCATTGGCTGCTAAAATTTCCCCGATCCATTCCCCGAGCTTTGATTGCTATTGAAAAATCAAAGCTGGTGAAAATTCGATATCACAATATACATGTTCACCTTAAGCTTACAGCGCTCACCCATCAATTTCCAAACCTTACATCAACACCTCTCTTTCTCTCTCATTCTTTTTTTTTGTGAGGGGAAAATCATCAAATGACTTCTCCCGCCCCTAGTGTCAGACTCTTACTGACTAAAAACCCCCCTGTTCCTTCTCCTGCGCTTATCCCGCAACCCCGGCTGAACATCAGCCCTATAGGGCCCCGTCTGTGGTGGTCTATTGGCTCCACCGTACGCTCGGGCACACTTACCCCCTGGCATTTGTCGAGGCACACGGTAACAGTGCCCTTGAACTGTACGTAGGATGTGTCAGGGAACTTGAACGCTTTGAACTTTGCTGTCAAAGTGTCGCCATCTGATGTCACGAAGTTGTCAAACAGGTAAGTATCGACTGAGCAACTGAAATTAGAAAAAGAAAAAAGAATAATTAGCACAATCTATACAGAGGATTATATAGATATCAATCTATACAGAGAATATATAGGAGAATATAATTATAAAGAGGTAAAATTTTTAAGTTTGTATGTTTAGACTGCACGGTTGGTGCGGTGGCCAGGCAACTGGCTGCTGTGCACGTACTGTGTCGCGGGTTCGATTCGATGGGTGTGATGTGCACGTAAAATTTTATGTTTGTAAACGCACCCACGACACAGGAGAAAGTCATAGTGTGGGGCAAAGTTTTATTAAAAAAGGGAAGAGATATATGGGACTTATCTTTTGAACCACCTAAAATTTGCATAATTCTTTCACTGATAGATAGCTACTTACAATGTTCCTGAGTGCTATAGGCTATAAATTATACTTGATTTGCGTATTTTACTCGAGCTATCGCTTTAAACGCTACTGTTTTCAAAATCCCGCAATTCATTAAGACGCTAGTTATATGAATAAACACAAAATTCGCATCCAGTTTTATAATCAGAACCGCTAAGGAGTGGAATTCTTTGCCGGAGTCTGTGTTCCCCGAACGGTATAACCTGGGTGTCTTCAAGGCCCGAGTGAATAGATTGCTTATGGGTAGACGTGCTCCATCGTAGGTCGGATCATCGTTTACAACCAGGCATGAAAAAAAAGCCCAAATTACAAAAGAAAATAGTTCAAATCCGTTCAGTAGTTATTACATTAAAGAGTAACAAACATCCATCCGTACTTATAAACTTTTGCGTGTAGAATTTATTTTTTTTGAAAAAAACCTTGATAAAACACTAGGATTTTCTTCTGTGTCGTGGGTGCGTTTACAAACATACGATTTTTTTTTACTTGCAATAAACTAGTGCTTGACTGCGATCCCACCTGATGTTAAGCAGTGATGCAATCGTTGATGGTAAGGCGCACTAGTTTATTAAGAGCCTATTCACTCTATTCACATACCCATCACACCCAGACCCGAAACAACAATTTTTGGATCACACAAAGAGTTGTTCCGTGCAGGAATCGAACCTGCGACACGTTGCAGTCAGTCAAATTATAAAGATAACTACTAAAATAAACTCGAACTTTTAAATGCCAATTACAATTAACAAAATATTCCTAATTTTACTTACCCATTCAATATGATAGTTTCCTGCTGTTTTCCAGTATCAGTGACGTGCATGTAGTTGACCAGCAAACCGTATATGGGAGCCGACTTCTCGTTCAGGAAGATCTCCATCGTCAGAGGAGTGCCTGGCGTCACTGATATCTCGCCGGAGACTCTGGAAATTTGAGGTATGAAATTAGCTACTAAACTCGGAATTTTAATTCCATTCCAGATTTGACAATTTCAGTGTTGCAACGTTATGACACGAAATAAATAGTGACGTTGCGAAATTATTCGATGTGGAAATAGAATATTTCTGAATCGATTCCTCTCGTTTATAAATTTACTCTCGTAAACTAAGTTTATCAGGAAATAAAATATTTCTGAACCGATAATTTAGTTTTGACAATTAATTAACGATCTGAGACTTTTCTTTTGTAATTGTGTGTGAAAAAATGTGATCTTGAAGGAACATGACAAATAAAACAGAAATTTTATAAATTGTCGCTGTCATCGCTATCGCCATCGCTGTTACTTTCTGTAACATTTATTATGAATTGTGTCTGTGATTTTTATTCTCAATTAACATATCTAGCTTACTCATTTTTTCCTCTTCTTTGACAACATGGAATACGCATTTAGACCATTCGGTAGCCGTAATTTTTTGAACGCCTTCCTGAAACTGATTCTCTGATTGTTTATCGATTTTTGTGTTAATCACTACACTTTTATATGTGATATCATTATTTCACAAAATGACAGTAGGTCATGTCAAATCAGGAATCGAATTAAAATTCAGACTATAGTATCAATTCAGGAATCATCAAAAGTTGCGTCTATATATACTACTACTATATGTATACGGTCATTAAATTTATATTCGAGTGTCTGAGAGCCACGCTTCGGTACGAATGGGTCGGCTCGACAGGACTGATACCACTACCTCACAGAAAACCGGTGTGAAACACAAAGCGTTGTGTTTCGCCGTGTGAGTGAGGTAATCCCCCAATCCCTAAATCTCCAAATCCCTAATCTCCAAAAGGTCGGCAACGCACGCGTAACTCGTCTTTTGTTGCGGATGTCTGTTGATTGCTTACTATCAGGTAATCCGTATGCTCGTTTGCCGAACTATCACATAAAATGATATAAAATAAATTAGCCTTACATTTAAAAATAACTTATTTCTCTTACAAATAAAATAAAAATATTAAGTACTTACTGTTTTCCATTTTGTTTCACAATAGCACCTAATACTGGTTCAGGGGCCTTGCCTTCTTCGTACCTAGTGATGTTCAGGACTCTGGAATAAGCAATATTAGAAGTTAGGGCCAACACAAAGTATCATTTTCAATATACCAAGGGCCAAGTGCGCACAAAATGGCAGTTTTCAATGTGTCGAAAACAAAAATTCGATCGGGAGTTGATTTTGAATTTATAATAGCATATTGTGACTTAAAATAGTATATATATTTAATGTAAAATATGAATCAATGTACATATATCTATACTAATATTATAAAGAGGTAAAATTTGTAAGTGTGTATGTAGGGGGAGTATTCTTTGGAACCGCTGATCGGATTTCCAAAATTCTTTCACTGATAGATAGCTACAATGTTCCTTAGTCCTGTAGGCTATAAAACATCACGCTACGATTAAATGGAGCCGAGCAGCGGGTGAAACCGCGCGAGTTAACATAAATAAAGAGTCGACTCGATCGGAGTGATACAGCGGCCTCACAGAAAACCAGAGTGCAACAATTACAGCGTTGGGTTTCGCTGAGTGAATAACTGGAGGCCCAATCCTTCGCTTCCCTCTATCCCTCTCCAATTCCTAAATCACTCGGCCTTATGGGTCACTACCATGGCGCCGGTAACGCATTCGGAACTCCCCTGGTAGCTATGGGCGGCGAGGATTGCTTACCATCAGGTAACACTCATTTGCCGACATATATTACAAAAAAAATGACTGTGTATACTCACTCAGGTTCGTGGAAGTCCAGAGGGAAGGGAGGGACATCCCTCTTGGAGATGTAACGCAGTTTGTCGGCGACCGAGCAGCGAGCTCTCAACATTTCTATATTTCCGGCCACGTCTTCTATCACAATGTTACTGTAGAAGGATCTTTTCCCCTGAAACAATTTCGTAATGGCCACCATTAATTTATTTTCTTAATAAAAGAGAAGAAAATTATGAAACAATATTTTTTTTTGTTTAAGCTGTGACCCAGATGCAAAGGCGCCCGCTTCTCATGCATGAGGGCGCGGATCCGAAACTTGGCAAGTACCAATGTGACTTTTTCCGCACGGAACAACTCTTTGTGTATTCCACAAATTGTTGTTCCGGGTAAGGGTTTCATGTGTATGTGAAATTGTATGTTTGTAACCGCACCCACGACACAGGAAAAAATCCTAGTGTGGGGCAAAGCAAAGAAAAGCTTTTTTTGAGGAAAAAAATTCTCGCCCAGGGTATGGCGAAAAGGAGTGTCAGACTCTTACTGACTACAAACCCCCGTTTCTACTCCTGCTCTGGGCTGAGGTCGCGGTGCCTCATTTCGCTTACCCCGCAACCCCGGCTGAACATCAGCCCTATAGGGCCCCGTCTGTGGTGGTCTATTGACACTTTGAGGCGCGCGCAGAATACTACGCGCCGTACGCTTGTCAACAACCCCTGGTCTGGCCAACTTTTGCATAACATCAGAAATAACAGCTTCAATATTGTCTCACCGTGCCCGTCTGCAGTATTCTGGTGACTGCACACTTGTGGTGGTCCTGGAGGTCCAGCACGAACATGGCAGTGTTCCCGTTCATCTCCGGAAGACAGGGCTTGTACTCTGTAAAGATTTTTAATTGAAATCAAAAAAGTTGCAGTGGTGTTGGCTAATTAAAAAAAATAATATGATTGTTTAGTAAATTCATATTTAGTGTTAAGTTAAGAACCTAATTACTTAAATCTGGTACAGACATAGTTTGGAACTCGAGAAAGGAAATAGGATAGTTTTTAAACAAAAAATCTGCAGGAAGTAACAATTCCACGCGAACTGAGTCGCAGGCAAAAGTTAGTATTAAATATAAAGCCAGCAATAAATGGAGGCCAGTATATTAAAATAACAGTCAACTACTTATTTAAAAGAAAATTGTGTCTATTAATTAATTAATAATCATATAGCGTAGGATTCGTGATGTCTTCGGACTCAAGTAATTATTACGGAACACTTCATTGGAATATCTCATGGCACAGTCCATCGGGACGAATGGTATTGAATAATTTATTACGAAATTAATAAGTTATTTATAAGAAAGTCAGTATGTTTACATTATGACGTGATTTATTTATTCTGGAGAAATTTATAATCTCTATGATACAGGTTAAAGTCAGCGTAGTGTGTAGACGGCCTAATATGGTAAAAAGTGCAAATTAAGGGGGTAGATGAAGATTCATCGCCCGAATGCAGGGAACTGTGACATCGCGTCTTCAGTCTGCTTGTGACCACGACCTGTGCAACCAGGCCGAAACTATTTTCGCGTTAATACACGCGTAATCATTTTAAGTGTGGGAGAGCCAAGCTTCGGCACGAATGGGTCGGCTCGACCGGAGAGATACCACGGCCTCACAGAAAACCGGCGTGAAACAACCCACAGTGTTGTGTTTCGCCGTGTGAGTGAGGTTACCGGAGGCCCAATCCCTTCCCTTCACCTATCCCTTCCTAATCCTTATATTCGCAACCCCTATCCCCAAAAGGCCGGCAACGCACTCGTAACTCCTTTGGTGTTGCGGGTGTCCATGGGCGGCGCCGATTGCTTACCATCAGGTAATCCGTCCGTCGTTTGCCGACCTATTACATAAAAAAAGGTATTTCCAGATTTCGATTATTGAGTTGAGAAAAAAGTTTTAGAGACTTTTATAGTAATACTATATATAATATACTATATATACTTTATTTGCACACCATACTATTTTAAAGATGTTGATGTATCAAACGACGGACGGATTACCTGATGGTAAGCAATCAGCGCCGCCCATGGACACCCGTAACGAAGGAGTTACGAGTGCGTTGCCGACCTTTTAGGGATTAGGGATTTGGAGATTTAGGAACTGGGGAGGGATTGGGGGCGGGGAAGGATTGGGCCTCCGGTAACCTCACTCACACGGCGAAACACAACGCTGTGGTTGTTCCACGCCGGTCTTCTGTGAGGACGTGGTATCACTCCGGTCGAGCCGACCCATTCGTGCCGAAGCATGGCTCTCCCACACTTAAACCTTAACCTTGCTCATTCACACTAGTGACTACTCGGCCAACGACACAGTCAGTTTGAATTCTGCCTATGTTGAATATATAATATGTTGAAATATCAACTGTCTTTACTTCTCTATTGAGTTGTCAATACATTCTTACTCCTAAGCCCTTATTTTTAGACTAAACACGACCCGTAGGTTCGCTCCAATTTTTTCTCTTTTTTTTAAACGTCGCTCCACACTAGGATTTTCTCCTGTGTCGTGGATGCGGTTACAAACATAAAATTTCACATACACATTACACCTAGACCCGGAACAACAATTTGTGGATCACACAAAGAGCTGTTCCGTGCGGGAATTGAACCTGCGACTAGTGTTGCCCAAATTCAGTCTTGGTCTTGCAGTCTTGGTCTTGTTCGTGCGTTTTTGCAAGACCAAGACCAAGAACAAGACCGCGTATTTTTAGCAAGACCAAGACCAAGACTGACCGTGCAAGACTTGAGCAAGAACAAGACATGGCCTGCAAGACTCTTGCGTCTTGCAGCTAGGACTTAGCGCTATTTCACTCAGGTGTAACAGTTCGGTGTATAGGTAGGTACGCTTAGGAATTCTATGAGACGCAAAAAACTGTATCAAAGAATATGAAAAACTGGACCTATGCGCATTACGACTAATACCATAAACATAGCGAATAAAAAATATCTATTAAAATCAAACTGAGTGCATGCATAGTTATGTTTTAACCATCGGTACTTTGATAATGCGGCATTAAAAGGTTTTGTACTTACTTCTCAAAGAAATTTGCCGCTTTTCGGAAGTACATGGTTATGATACACGCGCTTCTTTTGAAATCTAAAACAATCGTTGCCGACACGCCGAAATCATAACATTTGACAAGCACTATTTAATTGCCGCCATAGGGCGTAGGTATACTCATGCAAAATAATTTCGAATTTTAAGAGATCCTACAGGTGTTCCAAAGAATAAGAGTCAGCCAGATGGTTACTTTGCGATGAGGTACCGCGACCTCGGCACAGAGCAGGAGAAGGAACAGGGGGGTTTTTAGTCAGTAAGAGTCTGACACTCCCTCCTGCCCGGCCCTGGGCGGGAGAAGTCATTTGATGATTTTCCCCTCACAAAAAAAAAGCCAGATTGTTACTTTGTATTAATTCTTGGTCAAAAAAATTGATATAAAGTATCATAAACTAATGATCAAGCTGTTGATTTGTGTTGTATTTTATTTTTTATTCAAATAAATGATAAATCGTAGAACTCTTTTATTAAATTTCTTATAAGTTGAGGGTTCAATCTCTTTCTAGACAGATAAGTTTTGTTCTTATAATACAGTCAAGTTATTGTAATTAATTTGTTTTTTTACATTTTAGCAAATGTAAGCTTATAAATCATAAATGTTATTGAGAAACAGTTACTTCCATGGAAAACGACATATAAGTCAGTTGATTTTTCGAATTTCTTATAAAATCTTCAGTTATTTATTAATCTGCTTGATTTACTATGACTATGTTAATTCAAGCTCAAAATGTTCCAATTCTAATATGTTTTTCTAAGATTTAAAGTAAACTTTAATAAATAGTAATAGACTAATAGGTATCTGCAAGACTTGCAAGATCAAGACCAAGACCAAGACTGGCAGCGCAAGACCAAGACCAAGACCAAGACCAAGTGTATTGGCGCAAGACCAAGACCAAGACTGGCTAAGTCTCGTCTTGTTCTTGCATTTGGGCAACACTACCTGCGACACGTTGCATGGCAGCCACTTGCTCAGCCACCGCACCAACTGTGCAGTCAAAGTCAAATAGTCTTTTATTCAGTTTTCCGTACATTCAAACTGGTTAAAAAGTAATCTTTATAATCCAATGACCTCGGTGTCACGACATATGGGGCAAAATAGGCCTGACGTTCAGCCTGGGACTGGGAGGAGAAAAAGACCTCCGGGACTTATACAATTTTTTTTAAATGTACGATTCTAAAATACACCTTAGTATTTCTCCTGTGTCCTGAGTGCGTTTTCAAAACAACTATTAGTAAATCGAACCCGCGACGTCTTGCGCGGCAGCCAGTTGCCCAGTGACCGCACCAACCGTACAGTCAAAGGTAATCTCACTCATACGGCCAAACAACGCTGTGGTTGTGTCACGCCGGTTTTCTGTGTGGCCGTGGTATCACTCCGGTCGAGCCGACCCATTCGTGCCGAAGCATGGCTCTCCCACACTTTTATTGTTTTCATTGTTGTTTTGTTTGTAACAATAGCGTCTGTCTGTTGTTTCTTAAATGTAAAATTATTATGCGAATGTTTGAAAACTTTCACTGATACACTTTATTTGTTGTATGAGAACTAAAGAAAAGGTTCAGTCTTTTACTTTTAATTACTTTCGTGTATAACATTTTGGGTATAAAACTTATAACTTATTAAATATAATAACTATCGTGAGACACACTAAATTAACTAAAAATCACGGGTTACTCACGTTTGTTACGTTGTAGGCTGCGCGACGTCGTCGCCGCGTCCGCGCACGCTGCTCATGAGGAAGAACCCCTCTGTGGTTCGAAACTAGTAGAGCTTTTCTCAAAAACAAACGCGAGTAACCCGCGATTTTTAGTTAATTTATTAAATATACTTTAGACTGACTAACATATCAACGTAAAGTTTAAACGGCTAAATGTAACACTTCAAATTTGAAAGAGACTTAGCTTGGGTATCGTGAAGATGCACTAAGAAAGGCATTCCCGAAATTGCCACGGGAACGGGGAATTAGCGGGGTTATTCGTTTTGTATGAAAACGTGTTTTCTTTCTTTCTTTCTGTCTTTCTTTCTTTCTTTCTTTCTTTCTTTCTTTCTTTCTGTCTTTCTTTCTTTATTTCTAAACCACTTAAGTAAGACACCTAAACAACAATGGAGTCAAGATGTAGTTTGAAACTTAGAACAACCATACCTCATGATGAGAGGACCCAAGACTTACCCTTCAATTGCTCCAAGTACGTGACTTTTCTGTCTCCATCCATAGGAACAGTGACTTTCATCACCTCTGGCGAGCATTCCACCTTCGGTTCGGATCCTAGAACAGAGAAAAATATTTTATAACATTTTATAAGAATAATTGTGTAAAATGTGGGAGAGCCATGCTTCGGCACTAATGAATCGGTTCGACCGGACTAATACCTCGGCTTCACAGGAAACCGGCGTGAAACAACCACAGCGTTTTGTTTCGCCGTATGAGTGAGGTTACCGGAGGCCCAATCCCTTCCCCAATCACAACATTTCCAAATCCGTTATCCCCAAAACGTTGGCAACATACTCGTAGGTAACTTTGCTGTTGCGGGTCCATCCATGGGCGACGATGATTGCTTACCATCAGGTAATCCGTAGGCCCGTTTGCCTATCTATCACATAAAAAAATGATGGTGGTAATGATCTAATGATGATAATAATAAGACCTGGTTCTTTGTTCATTTCTAAAATGATTTTCGATCATGACCTTTTCAAATTAAATTATTATACAAACACAGGTCACCTCAACACATCTTATAATATAAAAATGAATCGCAAAATGTGTTAGTAAGCACATAACTCAAAAACGGCTGGACCAATTTTGCCAAATTCTTTTGTTTTGTCAGGAGAACGTTCTTATGAAAGAAAATATTAGGAAAGTAGAGGGGAAAATTGGGGAATAGAGACCCTTTCATTGTTAGCGAGATAGTTGGACCGGTGCGAAGCGGGGGTGGGCCGCTAGTCTATATATAAAAATCAATGCCACTTTTCGTTGTAATGTTATAACTCAACAATGCCTTTACAGATTTGGCTAATTTTGGTCTTGAATTAGAAGTCTATTTGAATTGAAGTCCCTAGAAGGTTCGTATGTAGAAAAAATTTAAAAAAAATCTTGAAATAGTGTGGGAGAGCTATGCTTCGGCACGAATGCGTGAAACAACCACAGCGTTGTGTTTCGCTGTGTGAGTGAGGTTGCCGGAGGCCCAATCCTTCCCCTTCCCGGACCCTTCCCCAACCCCTAAATCTCCAAATCCCTAATCCCTAAAAGGTCGGCAACGCACTCGTAACTCCTCCGTTGCGGGTGTCCATAGGCGGCGCTGATTGCTTACCATCAGGTAATCCGTCTGCTCGTTTGCAGACTTATTACATAAAAAAAAGTGTACACGAGCGGATCCGCGGGCGATTGCGAGCTTATGTATGTGCAATGTGCATGACATAACTTTACCAGTTCCCCGGTCAAAACCGGTCGAACTACATTATATACTCGGACCGGTTTTCAAGTATTTTCGGTGTACCAATATGGATCTGGTTTTTTGGGAATCGATGCAGTTTTTAATGCATTTTGAATGGACTATTATCTTTTTTTGTATAAAACACTAGACTAGAAACTTCTAATATAAATCACCGAGTCTTCTGCTTGCCCACTTACCGTGAAGTTAATAACATTGCACAGACCAAGGGCTTCTAAATGTAGACGTACCTATACATTATTTAGATAATATAAAGTCGGTTCACACGCGAACGCTGCCGGCCGGAACGTGCGACGAACCGATCCGTGTGGTGACACCCTTATTTCGAGCAATTAGAGGGACAGTCTCTAATGTCCACGTCCCGAATCCGTACTTTAAAGTGCATAAACTAATAATGTGACTTTTTCCTATTAGTGTTTAGTGCCTGATCGATAGACGTATTTTTTAAATGTTTTTAAAAAAAGTGCGTAGCTTTTGCGTTGTGCGATATTTGTCTGATTTTAGTATGTCTCATTTTTTGTATTTTTCTTATACTGAGCATACTGCGTTCCATGCCTCGTTGACATGTATATATTTTGTGTCTTGTATACTAAACCAGTCTCTAAAACTCAAAACTCAGTGAAAATCTCCAAAAACGTTGTTTTACGTCGTTGTTTTTTTGAGGCGATGGTATCACACCAGTCGAGCCGACGCGTTTGTACCAAAACGCACCGATTGGCTGAAGATTTGTTTTCGTAATGGCTATCCTAACAAAGTCGTTGCCATGGTAACCATAGCTAATCTAAAGAATAAAATAAAGAAGACTGGCTAGCCAAACGATTCATTGCAAATCTTGTGTTTCTGAGGCACGTGTTAAAGTGTGAATCTTCCGGGCGAGAAAGAGGGATGGAGCTATAAAAGGTATTGCTGTCACTGTCTTGTACAAACATTTTGACGAGACAGCATCATAATTATTCCCCAAGTAACTTTTATCTAACCATTGAAAAATCAGCCGTAGGTAATGTAATTTTCAATTTGTTTAGAGTCCTGAGACACTTGAAATTTATGGTCCCAATAGTGTTTAGTTAGAAAATTAAACGCGAGTTTTAGTATTAAATGTTTTATTGCAAAATCAGATTTGCTTCCTTACTTGGAAGCTTCTTTCTTAGTTTATTAGTCGCGGATTCGACTATAGTCTATCTATTATTAGGTCATTATTGAACTCAATATTATCTTGGAATATCTTTTTATATAAAAGTTGTCTAAAAACTATATGTAAAATAAATTTTTACAGGTTTTCACAGGTTTTCACCTAACGTAATCGACGTACATAACTAATTCCCCACAATATTATTATCATGCATTTTTACGTAATATTTTATCCTTCGCACTGAATAAACTATGTAATGAACTGGATAGTTCCCTAGGTCATTAATAAATTATTTCGACTATTTAGTGCAACAAATTATTAAAAAAAAACATATATTCATTCATAGATATGACTATAGATAAACTTTAATTTTGTATGATTTATTTTAATTTAAGCATATACATTTGTGTACAAGGTGGAGTTAATGCCACAGGCATTCTCTGCCAGTCGAACCTTTGGATAATGTAGAGCTAATATTAGGTGCAAGAAGCAAGCAAAATCGAAATATTGATTCATAATAATAAATATTTTATACACTTACTTACATAAATCCAAACTAATATTGTAAATGAGAAAGTTACTCTCTCTGTCTGTCTTTTCTTCATTCCTAAACTACTAAACCGATTTTTTATGAAATTTGGTAGACATAGTTTGGCACTCGAGAAAGGACAAAGGATAGTTTTTAAACCAAAAATCTGCAGAAAATCACTATTCAACGCGAACAAAGTCGCGGGCAAAGGCTAGTACCATATATGAAATAAATAAATATATATACCAGAAATAAACATCATCATCATCATCATCATCAGCCTATAAATGCCCACTGCTGAGCACTGAGCACCACGCTTGCTCAATGCGGGTTGGCGATTTCAAACTTATAATTAGAAATTATAAGTCCAGGTTAACTCAGGATGTTTTCCTTCACCGTATGCCAGTGGTGTCTAAATTAGTAGAAAGTACATATAACTCTGAAAAAGTCACATTGGTACTTGCCACGTTTCGAACCCACACCCTCATGCATGAGAAGTGGGCTCCTTAACGTCCGGGCCATCACGACAAGTGGAAATAAACATATATATGTATATAATGTTTACATGCTCTACTTATATATGACAACTCAATTAAACATATGTTTAATTGGCGAACACATCACATAACAAATATATTAAAAAAAAGGAAAAAAATACAGTGTGCGAGAAGCAGCCTACCACATACAGAAAACGATGGAGAAATTAAAATGTTTCAGATAAAAATTATACATTTTATCAGGGTATCTGCATGGCAATTCGATCCTTAACAACATGGATCATAAAAATACTATGGAAAAGGGATTTTCTATGGTGTTTACCTTCATTCTTTTTAATGGAATGTTTAAAGAACAAACACTGTTTTTGATTATGTTTTTAACGGTCTTATAAAAAAAGGTTCGAATTTTTGTTTCTGTTTTTAACGTATAATAAGCTATGCTTCGGCACGAATGGGTCGGCTCGACCGGAGTGATAGTGAGAAAATCAGCGTGAAGCAATATTTACAGTCTCTTTCGCCATGTGAGCGAGGTTACCGGAGGGCCAATCCTTCCCCTATCTTCGATCCTCAAACCCCTATCCTTAATGCCCTTTTTTGGCCGGGGAAAACCATAAATTGCCTTCTCTCGAGGGCGAGGCGAGGGAGTGTCAGACTCTTATTGTAAGTCTCTGTTCCTTTTCAGACTAAGGCCCCGCTTCTCATACACGAGATTGTGGGTTCAAAGCCTGACAAGTAATTAATATTTTGTCGCCTAGATTTAAGCCTACGGTACTAGTAGCCATTTAATTGTGTCCAAGTATTAGACCTCTATGCATGTAAAATAAAAACATTTTTTTTTGCTTGTAACCTCTTTGTTATGAGCTTATATTTATCATCTTTGTAACAATGAGACTTTTTCCGAGTTATACATATATATATGAAGTCTTTCGATTATGATTAGAATGATTTGACATGTTCGATTAGGAGCGTATTATCGGGTAGGAAGACAGTATTTCGATAAAATAACTGGTGTTATAATCGCTCTTCTTACAACTCTAGATATTACAATCACAACTATTACAATTTAATTAAGGATAATTACGATTAGCTTGGATTTGAACTTAACGTCCACCGAACACGTGGCCGCGTGCGTATTCTACGAAGGTCCAACACTAATTGTCCTGTTTTACAAGAAGGCCGCCTCACCAGAGCTCGGTGTTCGCTATGGACTTGAAATAATTATGACATTTTGACAGTGAAGTTTGACATCGACGTATAACAAAGAGGTTTAACTTGTGCTGATGGCCAGTGCGCCGACATATACTTTCTATGATTATTTAGACATCAATGGCATACGGTGAAGGAAAACATCGTGAGGAAACCTGGACTTATAAATTTCTAATTACAAGTTTGAAATGGCCAATCCGCCTTGAGCAAGCGTGGTGATTGATGCTCAAAATTTCTCCATGTGAGAAGAGGCCTTTGCTCAGCAGTGGGCACATATGGGCTGATGATGATGGCGGTAACTAGCTTCCATAGTAGCAATGGACCTGTTATCACCAGGTATACAGGTTCTATTCCCGGTTGCGGTTGGTCACTCTTATTGTTTCCTTGTTGTGTGGTCCAAAGTTAAAGAGGTAGCGATTTGTGTTACGGATATTTAATTATCTTCTACCCAGTTAT